TTCCTTCGCCTCCTTGGCATCCTTGGCCTCCTTGGCCTCCTTCGCCTCCTTGGCTTCCTTCGCCTCCTTGGCCTCCTTCACCTCCTTGGCCTCCTTGGCATCCTTGGCCTTCTTGGCCTCCTTAGCCTCCTTCGCCTCCTTCGCTTCCTTCGCCTCCTTGGCATCCTTGGCCTTCCTCCTTCGCCTCCTTGGCTTCCTTCGCCTCCTTGGCCTCCTTCACCTCCTTGGCCTCCTTGGCCTCCTTCGCTTCCTTCGCCTCCTTGGCCTCCTTGGCATCCTTGGCCTCCTTGGCCTCCTTCGCTTCCTTGGCCTCCTTAGCCTCCTTCGCTTCCTTCGCCTCCTTGGCTTCCTTCGCCTCGAGCTTGGTCGCCTCTCCTTCCTCGCAAGCCTCCCGGCGCCGCTTCAGCTCCTTCGCGGCTTCGTTCGCAGCAGCAGCCGCAGCGTCAGCCACGGCCATGGCAGCCGCCGCATCCTTTGCAGCCTGAGCAGCTTGTCGCGCAGCCTCATCTGCCCTCCGTTCAGCAGCAGCCGCCTCCTGCTTCAAGATGTCCACCTTCTCCACTGGCTCACGCCTTGCCAGCTTCCGGCCTGCTGCAAGGTCATCCAGGTCGTTCTGGCGGCGAATCTCCTCCCACTCTTCCGGCTTCATCTCTCCGTGCCACGGGTCAAGCGTGTCTGGCAGGTCCTCGTCTCTTGGCTGAGCATCCGTCCATTCCTCGGTCCTCTGGCGGGCCTCGCTGACATCGTGGACCACCATGGGCAAGGTCTCAAGGTTGTCCATGCACCGTCCTGTGAAACAAACGACACGTACCCGGAGCTAGTTTTGTGCGGTTTGAACCAGATTCAGGGTCATAGAGAACAAGAGATGTGTGGTGAACTTGCCCAGCTTGAGAGTTATTGTGTTGTCTTCGGTTTTTAATTTGAACCAGTCCTTGAACACAAAGGCTTGCCCCCCTGCCAGCAACTGTGGCATCAACCGTCGGCACACCCCGGCTTGCCAACTCTTGCTTCACCGCCTCCATCCGCTGCAGGACCTCCTCCCGAGAGGGCTGCGAGGCAATCGACATGCTGCCGCGCGAGGTACTGGGGCTGGCTGAGCACAAAGCGATCGGCGGGTCCGCCTGAAAGTTTCCGTTGTTGTCGGCCTCGTTTTCGGAAACCGATTCATAGCCATCAACGATGGCTTCACCCTCAGAATGGTCTATGGAGATAGTTTCTTCCTTTTCATCAGCGGGCTCGCCATCCTCAATGGCCAACACTTCTGGCAGTTGTTCTTCTGGTGAAGGTTCTGGTGGGGCATCCCAATACGTGTCAAAAGTCTCCCACAGGCCTTTCAGCAAGGGGTCCTTAGGTTTGCAGGGCCATGAAACTGTAATTCAGCAAATTGAAGGGCCAATGAGTTGATGGGCATTCACACCAATCAAAGGGTCGACAAGTTGAAGGGAATTTTGACAAATCACAAAGGTCCATGGGCTAAAGGAAAATCCAACAAAGAAAAAGGGCGATGAGTCGATGGGCATTGGCTGAAGGCTTTGCTCAAGTTGATTCAAGGATCCCGTGGGCCTTCGGCGCCTGAGAGCCACCTTCTGCAAGCATAGCTCATTATCTTGCGAAGCCCCCAGCTGTCTAAGTTCACCCGGGTGACATCACGAGGATCCAGACCCATGAGCCCTCGCCACTGTCTCACCTTCATGGGTGAGTGTTTATTCTCTCCCATAAATCCTTAGACTGTGGAAAAGCAGCTAGCCTTCTTGATTGGGCAAAAGCGGGGCTCGTTGGCTTGACAATCCTGGAACCTTTTTGCTTTGTTACCAGGTTGCAAATTAGATCTATCCCCGACTGAGGATATGCGGGTTCATCAGACATCCAGTGTCATAAGTTTGGGCCAGGTTGCAAATTAGATCTATCCCCACAAAAACAGCTGAGGATTCGCGGGTTCATCAGAAATCGGGTACCACAAGTTTGGCCCAGGTCGCATTTAGATCTATCACCCAAAACACAACTGAGGATTTGCGGGCTCATCAGAAATGCAGTATCATACGTTTGGGCCAGGTCGCAAATTAGATTTATCCCAAAAACACAACTGAGGATTCGCGGGTTCATCAGATATCCAGTACCATAAGTTTGCGATTTTCAACATCCATGCCTCTTGCCTGAGGATGTCAATCGACACTGGCGCAGCCTTGTTTGACAAAGGGCACCACCAACATGCTAGGATCTCAGTGGCCTCCAAGTTGGCCAGCAAAGTTGACATCCCACCCACCCCTGTCAACGCCGGGCTTGGCCAAGAGCAAAGCTTACCCTGCGTCCTCGCCCGATCTCTGAGAAGGGCTGACTGCTCAAAAAGGTCTGCCAGTCTAGCCATGCCTAAGGCCTAAGGTTGCTGGGCAGTGCCTACTTGAGCCCGCAGCTAGAGGGAACTCCTGAGAATAAAGGGTTATTTTGCTCCTGGAGGGTTGTGGTAGGTCATAGCGAGTCTTCCGAAATCCAGCGCCCCCCCGAAACGGAGCCAGGCCTTCAGCTCCATCAGCGGAAGCCAGATGAAGCGTCAACGCCTGAAGCCACAGCAACATGTCGGTCACCCCCAACTCACCAAGCTCAGCAGCGCAAACTGAAGCATGCCCACTGCAACAATCCCTTCATCCCATCAACTGCAACCTGCAAAAGCAACTGAATGCCCTCCGAAACCCAAAAGCAGAAACACGACCCCAGCAAGCTCGCCTCCGCACGCAGACCAGACACCGCATCAGTACCTGACGAAGGGCGAGCGAGCGATGTGGGGAAAAAGGCAGTGGCTGCGCACTTGGTGACCTTTGCCGCGGTGTGAGGGCCGATGCAAGCCAAACAGCTCGCACGGGCGCACTGTGACCGGAAGAGGGATGCAACATGCCACTAAATAACCAAAACAGTAAAAGCGCTGGTTGCAAAAATAATTGCCGTGTCAAGGAAAAACACGGTTTTTCTCCAAACAGCAAAAAAAAGGAACCTGTTGGGACATGCAGGTATATATATATATACATATTCGGGGGTTGCTCTTCTGGGTTCAGTGGTTCGAATCAGACATCAGACCACTTTTGGAGGGGCCCCCGCCCCCATACTTATCCCACTGGGGTTGATGAGAAACGTGGCCTGGTAAATGGAAAAGGTAGACTAAAACCTGCGGTCCACATCCGGGCGGTTTGATTTTGACCCATACCCTTGTGACGTTGCTCATGCGGAAAATGTGGGGTCAACACTAGGAAATGAGTTGAAATGAACTCTATAAACCATCTTATTCGGGAATCCCGAAACGATTCATTCAACCACCTTCCCTGCACCCTCATTGTCTTGACCACACATACGCCGCCCCTTGCCGCGACCGCTTGACTGACCAGCGGCCCGGCCCAGTACCGCAACCGCGACTGCGAACCGGATGTTCGGCACGGCTTGACCGGCCCCGCCGTGCCGCGCAGTGAACGGCATGTTCGTTTTAAACCAAGGGGTGGAACTCATTGGGTCAGCCCAATGCTTGCCGACTCAATTGCAATGGGGAGGGGCCCTGCGCAATCAAAGTTGATCAGTTTGGGAAGCAAAGACAAACATGTGAGCTCTCCTCGTGAGCTCTCCTTTAAATCACCCCCCAAAAACGTTGTTATCCAAAAAAGACACGCCAACACATGAACAGTAAATCCCACGGTACGGCGGAGCCGTACGCCCCTCCAATGGGCCAAGCCAGGGTTCCCCGTTAACCACAAGGCCCCGAGGGAAATTAAAAGCACCTCAGGGTCCCATTCATCCAAAAAAAAAACCTCAGCCCAAGAGCAAGAAAGCTCATTTTATCACAACAGCCCAACAGCACGAAGGCTCATTTTTAAATGTAAGTCTTCAAAGTAAAATCTATGACCCCTTTCAGGGGGAAATCTTCGGGTTTGTCTCCAAAGCCCGGGGGTACTTGCTCCCCCCCAACCGACCCGCAGGCGGGGGCTGACCGTCAGACCCCTCCCAGCTCTCCCGCTTTGAACCAAGCCGAAAAGCGTCGTTCTGCAAGGCCTCCCTGGCCGGGCACAAGGTGCTCTTCACTTGCCTCAGATGACTTCCACTTGGCTTTTCGACCCCTGGAAAAAATACATACATATATATATAACGATTTCCAGAATGGAGAAACTCCAGTTTTAAAAACCAACAAGGGAAAAACATATAATATATTCTTGAGCAATTGGAAGATGATTTTGCCACCACGGATGCAGATTCGGGTTCGCCACAACCTAGACTCTCCTGCTGACCCTGCCTAAGTTGCCGATAGGGATCGGAACCCAAATGGTCCAGGACAGCTTCTAGGTCCTCTAGATTTGAGAGGTTAGAATAAGTTGGTACCATTTTTTTCGGCTTTGTCTATTCTAGTAGGGGAACCCTCCCCCAAAGAAGCGGAGAGAAGGGCACTACTGGGGGACCTGGTAGACTCTCCTGCTGACCCTTAAAAACTGGGTCCATGACCCCATTCGTTTAAGAAATGACCATCCAACTTTTCAGGGAAGTTTGAGGGTCCATGCAGTGGGACGCAAATCGCCCATCTCACTGTTGCTTTCCACTGCAACTGCTGGGCTTGGCCTGTTGTCCTTTCTGTTTCCCTGCTAAGCCTCCCACAAGGTACCTACTCATAACCGACACACCCAAGTTGATTTGTCGCTGAAGGAAACCTTTGAGGGTCCTTGGTACCTAAGGGGTCATCATTAAAAAACAAAAAATCAACCCTCCCCCCCCCCCGCCAAAAAGAAAGAACAGCAACCAAAAAGCGCAACATGCTGAGAAGGGGAGCCGAATTCAATTTGGGGTGGTACCTTAGACACACCCCACATGAAGGAACCTGAGTCTCCATGACCCTTGAAAAATGGGGTCATTGCCCGAAAGAAAGATTCGGGTCATGACCCCTTTTTCTAGGGGTCACGAAGACTCTAGGAAGACCAAAAATGCAAAATCATCGAAAGGCTTCAGCTCAGTCTGGCCATGTTGCAGCGTCTTGTTCACGCGGTCGAAGACACTGCCCTTAATCGCCTCCTGGTGCTGGTGATGGCGAATGTCAGTTTAATGTCAGTTTGCCTTTTCAAATGGGTGTGCGTCAAAAGCAATGGGATCCCACTTTGGGGTAGGTGCACCACCCATTTTAGCCTGTTTTGGTGGGGATTGGGGATGTTCACTGGGGATACGATTTGGATTTTGACCCATGGCCAAATGGCATCTACCCGCCCTCCAACAAACATAGCACCCTGTGGGAGGGAGGGTATGGTGGGCAGTAACACTGCCTCCCCCTGAATTAAAAAAAAAAAGGTTTCTGCACCAATCGGATTTAGGGGGGTTGTACTTTCTAAGGGTAATGTTGACCCGGATTAATAAACCCGGCCTCTGAATACAGGGGGGTGCTCCCCTCCAATAGCGATGAACCCCCACTAAACCAGGACCACCCCCTGTTCATAAGCTGGGACTTATGAATCGACCTCCTACTCCAATTTTATTGGGTGTAAAAAACCCGGCTTTCCCTCATTGTTTCTTGTTCATGGCACTTGCCCGCCTGGACGATCGAAGAGAGCGACAGCCTCGGTAAACAACTGCATGGGTCTTGGCAGGCACAGGGTAGCCTGCTTGGGGTCGGCTTGCAGGGAAACCATATTATGGAACTCCGTGCCTCGTTTTCCTTGGGGGGGGGGGGAGTCCCCTGTTCTAGGATCAAATGTGAAACTCATGTGGGGGATGGCACGTGAAAACCAACATGAAGCTAAACATTTGGCTGTGAATTTGAAGAGGGGACTATCTCTCAATGGTTTGATTGACAAGCACCGAAGGGTTCCCTAGTAACATTTGTACCCATTTAGGGGGTTGTCTCAAAGGAAACTCTCCATGAGTGGGGGCTTCCCTTTGTCCAAGCCAAAAGAAAGGTACCCTCATTGTTTGAGAGACACCCAGGAATTTTCCCTGAATTCAACTCTCCGTGGCTGAAATCAGCCAATTAGGGCGGGTTTGTAGCCAGTGAGCCCCCTTCAAACCCTTGGTCCCTTTAAGAAGGGTGATGAACCCTTGCTTTGGATGACCTGTTTGAAAACGACCGAAATAAGAAACTGCCCAAATCACAAGTTGCTGGTAGGTGGGGCACAGCCGACTGCCCTCGGACATGGGAAATACCCTGTTCTCGTGCTGGAATTCCAACCCCATGGCAACTCGGCCTTCGTCCTCTTGGGAAACACTCAACAGCCAGGCAACGTGGAGATACAACCAGAATCTGACAAAGGCCCGACCATTCCCCCAGCTTGCGGAGTGTCATTGGAAGTCGAAGTCTTGACCATCTTTTGGGGGAGCTGCATAGACCTAGGCTCTCCTTCTGACCCCGAATAAAAAATGGGCCGGGCCCTTGCCTAAATGTTTTCGCTTCGGGTCAGATGGGCCAATTCTTTTCCCAGGAATCAGAAAGGAGACTCTAGACTCTCCTGAGCCTGTAGAACCGGGCCAGGTGAACCGAAAATTTCTTTCTGTTGGGTCTGACCCACCATCTTTTGACAGGCTACCCTCCGTGGCCCTGTACAAAAACGGGTCATTTGAAGTCACTGGACCCCTTTTTGGGTAGTCACACCTAGGGTATTCGGAGACTCCAGTCACTTGACTCTTGGCATCCGTGACCGTGGTTGAATGGACGTTCGGTGGCTTTTCAACTGAAAGAGTTGGAGGAACTCCTTGGAAGGTCACTCGGAGTCCCTCATCTAGGTCCTCCAGATTTGAGAGGTTAGAGGATAGGGTACCCGATCTTTTTTTGCTGTAGTCTATTTTAGTAGGGGAACCCTCCCCCCAAAAAAGGGCAAAAGGGCACTACTGGGGGACCTAGTCATGCAACTGGCAGTCAAGACAAGCGATATATACGCACAGCCACTTGCCAGCAAGGGCAAGCCCGCATTCACAAGCCCATCATTGATTCATGGGGTGTCCCGTTTTCGGAGTCCTTCACTTTCCCACCTTTTCAGCCGTTGCTCCAATACGAAACCGAGAGAAAAACAGGTGATCTGAATGAATTCCGACGCCTTTTGATTCGTTTCATCAGGTCACTGTATCTAACCGAACGAGATTGATCGGCTCGGTGGAAGGCAACTTCCGGCTGGCTGTAGACAAAGGGAGTAGAGACTCCCTGAGGCTAACATGGAACAGGGTTCCACTTTTTGACCCCAAGATGGACTTAAACCCGGTTCTCCTTGGGCAACGAACCATTTCTGGGTTTAAGTCTACCCTGAAAAAGTCAAAAAGTGGAGCCCTGACATGGAAGCTTCCCCTCTGCAAATCAAGTCTTGCAAAGGGTCCTGGGAGCCCCCTTCGTCGGGAGGGTATACCAGTTTGCTCCCGTGGCTTGGTCACGTTGGAGCAACCCAAACCGCAACCAGACGCCCCAACGTTCGGAACGAGCGTTGGGATCGGATGGCACTCTGCCCCCGCGGAAAGAGCAACCCTGCAACCAGAGGTCATCGGTTTCCGGTCAATCGAGCTGGTGGAACCTATCTTCACGCACTTAACTTCCCAGCTAATGTTTACCCGAAACATGTAAAACAACAGGTCGACAGGTTCAATCTCAAACCAAAACCGAGAGGTCTTTAGTTGTGGTTGACGTTGGAGGGGGAACACAAATTTATTTTTCAGCAGTTAAGTGGGGACTCCCACTAAACCACAATAAGCAAAAGTGTAAAATGTTTCCCAACAACAACCATGTTGAGCCCTCTTTTCATTGAAGTCGAGAGGCCCTTTTAAGATGTCTTCGAACTAATTCGATCAGCTTCCGTGATTGTTGGAAAGGGGGTAAAGGGGTTGAGGACAAAACTGACAAATATGTCACACCTACTCCCCGACAAATTAACCTGGAACCCAAAAAGGGGGTCCTTAACAATGCGATTCTGCATATTTGTTTTTGGGGCTCGTTAAAAAGGTAAGGGTCTGTGCGGCTTGGCCAACAAAAACATGTGGCGCGTCACGCGCATGTCTGCTTCGTTGCCCAGCTGCTCAATCCTGAGGCGGCATGAGGCCTTTGGTTTCGAACACCCCACTGGACGTCGGGGAAAAAGCACGGTATTCGTTGCACTCTGTGTGTTGCTTGCCTAAAAAAGGGGCCCGCCCACCCACCCACCCCCCCCCAAAACAAAACACACGGAAACAAATAAAGAGAAGAAGTCGAAAACTAAAAAAAACAAATTTAAAGGAAAAGCGGCAAGGGTTTCTGGCGATCAAGCTGAGTTACCTAATTTGAAGCCCTCAATAAACCCCTTGCGCTTCCCACTGGAGGTCTAGGTTGGAACTGGACCTGGCTACAGCCCCTGCAAATACCAGCAAATCATGGTTTCCCATGGTATCAAAGTGGTGCGAAATGGATTTTGTCCACCCAGAGTAGGAACCTGCCGGCCTTCCGAGAAAGAAACCCAACGGGCTGTCGGAGTCTCCTGACCTAATCCAAAAAGGGGGTGACCCTAAGGGTCATGACCCCTCCAATGCACACCCCCGCACCCTGCAATGGAGAACCCCGACCAATTCCTCAGGGGCCCAAGGGAAAACAATCAGATTTTAGGGTCCAAAAACAATCGAGACCCTTAGGGGACCACAGAATCTGCCCCGGAAAATTTCTGGACCCCGCCGCGGAAGTTCTTGGAACTCTCTGAAAGCTGCCCCAAAACACCAAGAGTAATCCTATTTGGGCAGAGACGGCAGAGACCCCATGGGTCAGATTCGGAGGCAGGCAGAACTTCTGGGCCACTCCTGTTCCGCTCCCTGTCTCGGATCGCTGAAGTATCAGAATCTCACTTGCTGAGTGGATTTTGCAGAAAAAGTTTAAACTGTTTGTTTACAACTGAAATTGGTCTTCCCAAAAAGTTTAAAGTTCATGAACTCAGGAAGTGAGTGGGTGAGTGAATGATCCCCAAACATCTCAACAGGCCTTTCTCTCGATGCACGCAAAGGCCCGAATCAAGGTGGATCTGGACCAAAGTTGGGAAGTGAAACAACCAACAAATGAACATTCGGTCAACTTTGCACCCTCAGTGCACTTGGCATGACGGCATTCCGATTTCATCTTTCCCTGTAAATGGCCACTACGCGAACAGAACAGTATTTACTGTTTTGATCGATGTTTCAAGAACGCCAACAGTCGCGCAGCCGCAAAAAGTGCAAAAATGACGTACCCCTTGGTCAGAAGGAGACTCTAGGTACCCCTTGTTTCGGTGGGTGAAAACCACGGCTTTCACCCGAAAAAGGAACGCCGTAACGCCGCCCATTTCCCGGCACCGAGTCTGCGCGAGGCTCTGCTTCCAGCCGTCGGAGCGGCAGTCCATATGCCACTCCGCCAGGCCAGGGGGCCGCGTGGGGTCCTCGGCGCTTCTTCGAGGCGCGGCTCAGGAACCGAGCGCAAGGGACGAAGCGCTGGCTTCGCAGTGGGTTTTGCTCTTATTTTTTTGGTATGGGCCTACCTAGAGTCTCCTTCTGACACCTAGAAAAAGGGGTCATTTGACCCCTTTGGGCAATGACCCATCATTTTTTAAGGGTCATGGAGAGTCTAGGTACCATCCGTAGAATGGAAGTGGCTCGCCATTTAGAACTGAGATTTCCTTGGCCCGGGGAATTACAAGGCTTGGTGCGTTGATTGTTCGCAAACGCGAAAAGCGGATGTTGTGATACATCCAACTCTGGGCTATTCTTGGTTGACGTTGGAAGGGGAGCAAAAACAAAAAAGATAGCAGTCAAGTGAAGATTTCCCACTAAACCACCATAAGCAAAAATGTGAAAAATGTTTCCCAACAACCACCAAGTATTCTTCCATTTCCTTAAGCCCCCTGGAAAAAAAAAACAAGGATCATTCCGATGTCCTTCATTCCCAAAACCCTGGGGACCCTATCAGCAAGGATCCCCAAAACGACAGTTGCTTCGTTCTTGGCGGTTCTCAGCACCCTGAGACTGTGACTTCCATTTGGTCATATTGTTCTCTGGGCTGCCCGTTTTCAGATCCCCCGCTAAAAGTGAATGACTTTTAGTGGTTTAAATTCGGAAACTACCTGCCACTAAACACTTTCTCGGTTTCGTTCTGCTCCGCTAAAAGTGACTCACTTTTGGTGGTGTAATACGGAACACCCGTTAGCTGGCAAACAGTTTTCAAGTCCTAACATCCCTTGGCAAAATGCGCCAAAGAAAATGGTCCCTTTCGGAGTTGCCAACTGGGCTCTGGAGTGGTTGGTCGCCGCTTCCGGCTAGGGTTCGGGGCTGGGTCGGTTTTTACGGGACGGCTTGGGCGGTCCCGGTGGTGCCCGGGGGGATCCAAACCTGTGGTTTGTCATCCTTGAAATCAAGGACCCCCCACATGTTTTCCTCTTGGTGCGCTTTAAAAACGCAAACAAACCACGGGGTACAGTCAAAAACCTCAGACCCACTTCTGGTTTGTGGGGATGTCTTTTTATGATGGTACCCCAGTTCTTGTTTTAGGGAAACCAAAAGGAACACCACTTCTTCTTGCGATGTGCTTTTTTTGGGGGGGGGATCAGAAAAGAGACACACCCGTAGTTGTTTTTTGGAGGGTTCGTATGTGTTGTCTTCGATTGGGTACGGAATTGTCCAACTGTCGGTTTTGTTGCACTTGTTGCAAGCAAATATTGCAAAGGGACACTAACACCGTTCACGACAATTCTACCAATCATCTAAGCCAACATTCTACCAACTTCAGGACGGTTGATCTTTCTAAGCGGCCAAAGGAGCGGTCTTCGTTGACGCTCATTTCAGGGATACCCTACCGTCCGAGAATCTTAAGGCTTGTATATACCTAGACTCTCCATGACCCTTAAAAAATGGGATCATTGCCCAAAAGAAAGGGGTCAAATGGGCCCTTTTTCTAGGGGTCACCGAGACTCTGCTAGCAGTAGTGAAATCCATTCCAACTTTAAAACCAACAGGGGGGAAACAACTTCTTCCTTTTTTTTCACCACACCCCTCGGCCTGTTTGAGGCCGAACACACTCGGCATGTTTTGTTTTGTTGCGTTTCTTCAAGTCCAGAGTGTTCGAAAACCAAACAAAAACAAGGCCGACGTCCAGATCTTACCACCTGGAGTCTCCTTCCGACCCTAACAACAATGGGTGCATGGCCAATCTTTCTTTTGGGTCATGACCAACCATTCTTTGAGGGTCATGACCAACCATTCTTTGAGGGTCAGAAGGAGACTCCAACCACATGGTTCTTGGCTTTGCATTCTGAACCATGTCCGCTTCGTCCTTCGACACCGTGTAGGCCATGAAGTAGCCCCGGTTGCAGAGACTCGGGCTCCTTGTGCGGCGCGGAGCGCGTGAGACTTGAAGATGCTCTTTGAGACGGAGCCGGGGGGGGGGGGGGGGCTGGGCTTCTCAAATATACTTTTGGGCGGGGTGGGGTATGTCGTTTTCTTGGGAGGTGGGGAGGGGTCGGAGAATCGGAAGCATTGGATCATGTTACCCTCCTACAACTTAACATGGAACCAGACAAGGGGGTTCCCTTTGAAAGGAAAATGGTCTTCCAGGACGCCCCTGTCAGTTTCCATGTTTAGTGGGAGGGTACCCTTTTTGTGGTTCCAACGGGACCACAGGAAGAACACTTTTTGTTTTGTCCGGGGTCGCTCGAAGCTACCCGCTTCAGAGCCAAACAAGGGGAGCCGCTAGGCAATGCTAGGTGGTTTGCCCCACCAAGTTTATGATACATGGGCTACCATGTGCAAAGCTGACATGGCGATCTCACCCAAATCAAAGTAAAATGCGCTTGTTCATTGGGGAAACCACGGGAGCTGTCCCATTGGTCTTCCTTTTCTTCAGTTGGTTCCCTTTGATTTAACCGTCCATTGGCTTTTCCTCGGTTTTCCATTGTCTCCCCTTGGCTTTCCCTTCGCCCCGCACCTTTGCAAGGGTCTACCAAACGCATCATCTCAGACAAACCTCCCAAGGGGTCAAGGCGCTCCCCCTCCGACCTCTCAAAAAGGCTTCCTTCTCTAAAAGAAAAACCACCCCCTTTTAACACGGCCCCCCTATAAATAACCATGTGCTCTTTCCTTCCAACAAGGAATCAGCCTCTCAAATGACTTCCTCCCAAAAACCGATTCCTCTGAATTACTTCTCAACAAGTGCCCCCCGTGTACCGTGACCTCACCTTCAACCTTCTTACCAGGTACGCCTTGAGACATCCCTCTCCGAAAACATGAGAACCTATCTCCAGTCGTGAAATCGATTCCCGGGAGGAAAAAAAAACAAACGAAAAGGCCAACGGGAGCTGTTCATTAAAGAGGCTCAGCTCCAAAGCACAGACAACAAAAACGGACCTCGGAAACGCCAAGCCCCCCCCCCACCCCAGCCCACCCTACCCCACCCCACACCCCACCCCACACCCACCGCCCACCCCAGCCCCCACCCCACCCCCCCCCCACCCCACCCCACCCCTCCCCACCCCACCCTACCCCACCCCACCCACCCCACTCCACCCCACACCCCACCCCACACCCCACCCCACCCCACCCCACCCCACCCCAGCCCACCCCAGCCCAGCCCAGCCCAGCCCAGCCCAGCCCAGCCCAGCCCCACCCCCACCCCACCCCACCCCACCCCACCCCACCCCACCCCACCCCACCCCACCCCACCCCACCCCACCCCACCCCACCCCACCCCACCCCACCCCACCCCACCCCCCCCACACCCCACCCCACCACCCCCCACCCCACCCCACCCCACCCCAGCCCACCCAGCCCAGCCCACCCCAGCCCAGCCCAGCCCAACCCCCCCCCCACCCCAACCCCACCCCACCCCACCCCACCCCACCCCACCGCGCCCCCTTCGCCGCAATGTTTTCTTTTTTTATCCGAGAGTCAGAACCCAGCGAGTGCCGGTTCCACCAGGTTCGCATTGCGGCCCGTGGTACAAATACATCTGGCCTCAGAACCGAGGGATCAAACCGAGTCATGTTGAACCCCAAATGGTGGTTTCCAACTTTATTTTGGTGCTGAAAAAGCAACATGTTTCAAATGGATGCAAAATGTATCTTTTCAGGAGCCCTGTTTATTAAGAGGGGGGGGTCCCTGGGTTTAGTGGTGAATCATCACTGTTCTGTGATCGTGTTGACCCCAGATTTTCATCAACTTCAGTTTATTCATACAGGTCCCCGGGTTTAGTGGTGAATCATCACTTTTTTGAGGGGAACAATTAATACACTTATTCATTGGGGTTTAGTGGGGAATCAAACAACTTTTGGAGGGGAACACCCCCGTATTAATACACACGGGTTGATTGATCTGGGGCCAGCAGAATTCCTTCTGACCGAAATCCGAAATGGGTTGACGCGATTGTTAAAGGGTCATGACTCATGACTGGTAGACCTCCAGGTCTGCACCCAGCTGGTCCCTTTTGAGGTCCCCTCTCAAAGGATGCCTGTTTTATTGGACAAAGTTCATCAGTCGACTTGTTCGTTCAGCCCCCTTGTGGATGGAATGGACGAAATCCTCCACCAGCTGAAACGGATAAAGCTGTATGAATAATGTGATCTGCTCAAAATAGGAGACCCCCAACATTGTGGCTTGCCCTGTAGGTGCTTTTTACCCCCCCCCCCCAAAAAAAAAAGAAGAAGAAGAAAAAGCAAAACTGGTATCTTCAAGCCCCCCCCCCAAAAAAAAAAAAGAAGAAGCAAAACAGGTATCTTCAAACAATTGCCAAACGGTTTTCCTGTTGGTTTCACTTTAAACCAACCTGAGTCATAATCAAAACCTGGTGTAAAAATGGTGACCCCAGAACCATGTAAGGAATTGAAAAGCCGCACCTATTTATGGCTGGGATTGTCCCTGACTAACCTTCATCTACCCGATTCGGTTTTGATTGAGGCTCACCTGAAGGGTCGTCTTCGCCTAAAGAGCCACACCCATCAAGTCATTTTGGGCGGGGTTCAGTGAACTGGCGGGGTTTCTCCAAATAGGGGAACCCCTCTTGGATGGTCTCAAAAAGGGACACCAAACACAAACCACCTGAAGGAATCGGTTCAATCAACTTTGAGACAACTCAAAATGGGTGTGTCTATTTTTGAAGGCACCCCATTTTTGCGGGCTTCACGGGGTTTACCAAGAGGAAAACCCCAACCTCCAACCGGCCAATTTTGGGGGGTCCCAGTCTAAAGACGAGCCTCCCAAATGGAGTGCCCAACTCCCAGACAGCTTGCGGGGAGCGTTGCAATGGCAACTCAACAGAGCCTTCCATGTTTTCTCGGTTGCGAAGTCTGCTCCCCTGCTAAAGGTGACTCACTTTTAGGGTTTAAAAAGTTATCCAGTCCTAACATCCCTTGGCAAAATGCAACAAAGTGTTTAGGCAGCAAGCAAGACGTGAAGCAAGGAAGATGTTTGAAAAGGACCACCGCCCCGCAGAAAAAAAAAAAAAACACACACCAAAACGCGCCGGAGGGGACTCGGGAAACACAAAAAACCTACCAACTTGAAACACCGATGCTTGATCCAGGCCGCTGGAAATGGAGGGTCCAATTGTTAGAAGAAAAAGAATCGCCGCGGAGATCGAAGGTTTCGAGCGGAAAAAAAAATCCCACCGGGGCGGAGATGAGGAAACGTGGGAACTAATTCGCCACGTAGAATGGATCGCCACGTAGAAATGTTCGCCTTCCCGATGCTGACCAACTGGGGCTCATTTGGCCCTCGAAACTTGGCGCGCGAAATCATCTCATCACCCGAATCCCGACGGATAAGAAAAAGTTATCCAAAAGAAATGACCCACCCAGAGGCTCCCGATGTATTTAAGGCCCTCAAACAGCAAGGTTTTGCGACCCCCAAACACCTCCGGGGTGTTTAATGGAGGGGTCGGGTCTTGCATTGAAAGCCCCACCCAGGAGCCTCGTGGGGAAGCATATCGTAACCCAGCGATTCGTCCCGTGTAAACCAGTTGACTCGGGCTAGATGGCGATAGAGGTTTGTGCGGGCGTCTCCTTTTGCAGGGGACCCAAAATGGTGGTGTTCCTTTTAAGCTTCCCTAAAGCCCAATCAAAGGGCACCCTCCAAAAAATGGACAGACCCATATGGCCTTTCTACCCCTGCTTCTAAACCAAGGAAACGAACCTAACATGGGCGCAAAGAAAAAAAGCTTTGGGGGCCAAGCAGCCGATGGTGGACTTGAAGACTGGTGCTCCATTTCCGGTGTTCCCGTGGGGCGCCAGCTTGGTGTCGTTCCAATAAGCTGACAAATGAGCGGAGCATCGAATCGAAATGGGATCGGTGGGAAGGAGCTGGGGAAGTTGTCAGTTCCCAGCGGCGTTGAATTTTACGCACGCGCACCAAGGCTAGGTCCTCCGGTAGAGAGGTTAGAATATGGGCACCTTTTTTTTTGTAGTCTACTTTACTAGGGGAACCCTCCCCACAAAAAGGGGAGAGAAGGGCACTACTGGGGGACCTAGAAATGCCAACTTCAACTCGATCGTCCTCACCCAGTCTTGTTATATCGATTTTACCAACGCTGTCTTTCTTGGGGGTCTTGGCAAGAGTTCCATGTCCTCTTCATCGCGCTTCAGGACGAAGTGTAAATGTGGATTGGTTGTTCGGTCACAAAAGGCAATCACCCTGAACATTTGGACCAGCTACTGTGCTGTGATTTGCGCACTGGGAAAAAAACACAGATAGAACCACCACAAAACTTTCCCATGAGCGAGCTCTAAACAAGCGCAGGGGGCACGAGTATCCCCAAACGCAACCGGGACCCGAAACCCTTGCCCAGAGCCGCTCCGCACCACTTCGGAGCCTATCTGGGCCACCCCAAAGCTCTCAGCTCTTAGGGAGTACACCCAAAGAACATGGAAAGCAAACTCGCTGGTGCGACAAGGAGGGAATGAGAAATGGAATGAACCCGGGAATCGAGAAAAAAAAAAAAAACGTTGGATGGTTTCCTTGGGGCCCAAATCCAATTTATCATTCCCCGCATCTCTTGCACCGATCGCAAGCAAAGACCATGTCTCATAGGAACCCAACCAGCCCACCGACTTGGCGCCCAAAATGCTGAGAAGAGCCTCGCCTGAGCCGAAGAAAAATGGCCCAGGGATTGCTGAGCATCTAAGTACCTAGACTCTCCGAATCTGACCCTTAAAAAATGGTGCGTCATTTCCCAAAGGAAAGATTCGGGTCTAATGGGCCTTTTTTCTAGGGGTCAGAAGTTGCAATCCACTGGCATAGATGACCTTTTGTAAAACTAGGATGGGTTTCCGGGTACATGGTTCATGAAAATCCCACCTAACCCAGTAGGCCTCTATTTCTAACCGGAAGAGACCGATCAAACGACACCTCACCAAACCAAAGTTGTTGCCTCTCTTCTTATTTGTTTAAACTAAGTTATTAAAAACCAAACAACCCTAGACAAACCAAGTCTCGGTACCAAAGTTCTTAAAATCCAAGAGGAAGCTGGTTGGCTGTCTGCATTCTGCAACTAACTGGGATCCATTGGACCAGCCCATGGACCTTCACAAACTTTGGGTCCCCTTCGGCCCGCCTTGGCCTTGGCAAATGTTGCCTCCCGCAAACCGGCGCACGGGAAGCGCCCAGCTGTTGGGGGCCAGGCCGAAGTGCTTAGTGAGTATTTTGAGGTGTTTTGGGGCAGCTTTCAGAGGGTTGATAGATTGTTTTTGGGCCCTCAAAACTGGTTGTTTTCCCTTGGCCCCTGAGGAATTGGTCGGGGTTCTCCATTGGAGGGTCCAGGGGTGTGCATTGGAGGGGTCATGACCCTTAGGGTGAATGTGTTTTTTGAAGCTACAATTTGTTTGGTGGCTTCCTGGATCTTCCTGAGAGTGGATAGATGCACTTCCAAAAGTGGTATTTGCCACTAAAATTGTCTTGACACAAAAAATTATAAAGTCTGAACTTAGGGAGTCTGAATTCCAGGGAAAAGAATGACCACCGCCATGGGGTCCCCAAAAACCCGACACAGCCTCTCCAAAAGCAACGGCAAACTCTGGGGCCCCGAGAGGTTGGGGATACCGGGGCTGTGGATTTTTTTGTCAAGGGTCAAGCTGGCTGGGGCTGTTGGGGATACCACCTATAGGGTGTTAGGGATCATGGCCTGACATATCCTTTGACCCGCCAAAAGGGGCCTTTGAGCTAGGCAGATGGGTACATCACCAGCTTACCAGGGGCCTGTTCAAATCCCCAAACCACCCTCTTTGGTCCTGACATCGAACCAAGACCCCCCATTCCCTCTCTCACGACTAGAATTGCGTGCCCCTGGAAGAGGAAAGCAAAGGGAGAGAGTGCCAAGTACTACCCTTCTGGGTTGGGCATTGTTTTGAGGTCTGGAGCAAACCGGTTGAAACAATCCTAAGAACACCTTGCACCCATCCTATCCTCAAGCCAATTCCAAAATAACGCACACAAAACACACACTAACAAAATACATAAACAGACAACCAAACGACCAAACAACCAAACAACCCAACAAACAAATAAACAAACTACAAGTAACTAACTAACTAACTAACTAACTAACTAACTAACCCACCCACCCACCCACCCACCCACCCACCCACCCACCCACCCACCCACCCACCCACCCACCCACCCACCCACCCACCCACCCACCCACCCACCCACCCACCCACCCACCCACCCACCCACCCACCCACCCACCCACCCACCCACTTCGCAACCAACCAGGCAATCAAACACACAAACAACCAACCAACCAACCAACCAACCAAACAAACAAACAAACAAACAAACACAAGCAAACAAGCAAGCAAACAAACAAACACAAACAAGCAAGCAAACAAACAAACAAACAAACAAACAAACAAACAAAGCCACACAAACAAACAAACAAACAAACAAACAAACAAACAAACAAACAAACAAGCAAGCAAGCAAGCAAGCAAGCAAGCAAGCAAGCAAGCAAGCAAGCAAGCAAGCAAGCAAGCAAGCAAGCAAGCAAGCAAGCAAGCAAGCAAGCAAGCAACCACCACCACCACAACAACAACAACAACAAACCATCAAGCAAGCAAACAGACAAACAGACAAACAGACAGACACACAGACAGACAGACAAAAAAATCAAACAACCAAACAATCAACCGATCGATCGATAAATCAATCAACTAATCAATTATTGAACCAACCAATCAATCAAACAATCAATCGACCAATCAAACAAACAAAACACACATGACAACACACAACAAAACAAAACAAACAAACAAGCAAGCAAACAAAATGAAAGCACGACCAACCAACCAACCAACCAACCAACCAACCAACCAACCAGCCAGCCAGCCAGCCAACCAACCAACCAACCAACCAACCACGCAAAACAAACAAACAGGCAAACAAAAGGCAACAAATCAAACAAAGTAAAACAAACAACACAAAGAAAACACAAAACAAACAAACTACCAAACAAAGAAACAACACAAATAAACATTCAAAACGACTGCGTCTTGGTTAATCTGGAAAGTCTTTGTGGTCACAAAAGATCTGTCCTCCATGTCCATTTCGCCCAAGTTCGAAGTCAAGCAACCCCTCAGGGGGTTACCCAGCAAATCTGCGCTTTTCCTTGTTGGCATTCCTTAAACACACAATATATATATATATATATACACATACCTAGAGTCTGCGTGACCCCTAGAAAAAGGGGTCATGACCCCTTTCTGTTGGGCAATGACATGGAGAGTCTAGGTATACATGGAGTACCCAACAACAAGGACACGCCCAACTCCTCCGAATTGCTCCGAACCCGGCCTGTGAGCTTCACACCGCTCTCGATGGAACTGACAGAGGTGAGGTCCTGAAGACACAGCAGAATCGGAGGTCTAAGGGCCGCAACGGTCCGTTTTCAGAGCCAAACATGGCGAGAAGCCACGAACCTCAAAAAAAGGTTGGTCATTACCCAAAATAATTTGGTCATGGAACGATTTTGAAAGGGTCATGAAGAGTCTAGGGGGCGAAACTCGTTGAATCCCAGCCACTACACCAAAAAGATAAAACTTGAAGAACCGGATGGCTGGGAACCACCAAGACGAGGTCGTTTGGTGTTTTGACCTGTCATGATGGTTTTCCCTGGTTATGCCTACTGTGGATGGTTGTGAAATTCATTTCGCACCGAAATTCGACCAAATAAACAGGGAGTTGAACCGGTTGCACGGACTTTCTTCGCGATTTATTCCTTGGCGCCCGAATTACCGGAAAAAAGGGGGGGTACCGTTACTAGGGTTGGATTCATGGGAAACCAAAAGGAACATGGCAATTTCCTACCTGGAGTCTCCTTCTGACCCTTAAAAAATGGCGGGTCATTACCAAAAATAATGGTTGGTCATTGACCCATTTTTAAAGGGTCATGGAGAGTCTAGGTAGGTGTCTTGGAGTCTATGAATCTGACCCGAATCAAAATGGGTTGCCACCCCCTTTCTTTTGGGCACTCACCAGTTGTTAAAGGTCAGATTCGGACATTCCAGGTAGATGTAGTTCGACACAGGGGTGTCTTTTTTGGGTTTCGGATCCACCCGTCTTGTCTTGTTTCAACTAGATCCCCTTCAAAACCAAAACAAACAATCCCCTCAAAACTGTTTTTAGTGTACCAGTGATTTTGGCCCTCACTTCCTGAGTGGATTGGCCCAAATAAGTCCTGGAACTTTCGATTTACTACCAAAACTCCTAACCCGAAGAAATAGTAAGTCCGGTTTGTATAAGAAATGACCAGTGAGTCAAACTCAAAAAGGAGGTTCCAAACCAAAGTTAAGAAATGACCTCAAGAAAACGTCTTTGTGCCAAACAAATGACTAAGGGTCATGACCCCTCCAATGCACACCCCCGGACCCTCCAATGGAGAACTCCGACCCCTCAGGGGCCCAAGGGAAAACAACCAGTTCCGAAGGCCCAAAAACCATCCATCGACCCTTGGAAAGTCCGAAACGCACGGGGGAGGTCCGCTTAAAACAAACAAAACGACGACACGTCCCCAGACCCCCGGGTCGCCGGTCGCCAACGCGAGCGACGGCGAGGGGCTCGCTTCTGGCCCGGCAATCCGCTGCCATCGCAGCCGCAGGCGACGGGGCAAACAAACTTCACGGGGCGGAAGTAGACCCTCAGCCCAGCGAGGTCCACTCCATGCAACTCGGTGGGTGGTTGGAATGGAGCTGTGGGAAATGGAATCCACAAATCTGTGATACAACAAAATGGCTTCCTTCCCAAAGACGAATCCCCCCTTTTCAAAGGGAGAGATTCCCTTGCACAGAAGTGGTTGGATAAACCCCTTGATCCAACCCTGATGCAACTCGGAAGTCCAGTGGGATGGAACGGAGTTGCTTTCACTGGGGGAACTCGGCTCATCAGGTTGGACTGCAGTGGAAGACTTGGTGCGATGGGAATGACCCCTATCCAATCTGCCGGGGGAGCCGCCGAAGGGCGGGTGGTTGGAGAGCCCTACTTTCTTGGCTGGAAAAATCGGACCCCAGCCAAAAAACAAATAATGCCTGGTTAGTGGGAAACAAAAGGGACCCCCCAAAAAAGCAAAAAAGCAAAAAGGGGAGCTGATTCTGGTGAAGCTTGGGTGTTCGGCCAAGTTGGGTAAGTTTGGCAAAGGTCATTCAGCTCCCCGAAGTGGGATTCGCCTTATGGGAAGGTAACCAAGTGGCGAACCGCGAACTTGGCAACGATCCAAATACATCGCCTAGGATCAGCTTAGGAACTCAGAAAGAAGGTGCAAACACATTGAACCTGTAGCGGCCGCGACATGGGAAACTAAACCCAACACCAACAACAAGCAATGACAAGCAATGACAAGCAATGACAAGCAATGACAAGCAATGACAAGCAATGACAAGCAATGACAAGCAAACAAGCAAGCAAACCAGCAAGCAAACCAGCAAGCAAGGACTCAAGCACTCAGCACTCAAGCAAGCAAGCCAAGAAAGTAACAAGCACACCAACAAAGCAACAAACTAACAAGCCAACACCAACAACCAAACCCATGACGCCGGCTAGTAGCGGCCATTTGTCTCATCATGCTTTTCTTGTGACGGTGTTGTCACCTCTGGTCCAAAAACAACTTTGGGCAACTTAAACAAGGTTTTCGCGCCCATTTTGCACTATCTGTGGGTCCAATTCGGAAATCCACAAAGATTTAACAAGAAAAAATAAAGTCCAAAGATCCGTTACCAAATAGGCCACAACTCCATTGCTGACTAAGTTCGCCAACACAAGTGACCAAACCAACTTTGGGAATTTCCCTAAAATTTGGTCCAAGCCTCAAACAGACTTGGAGACGCTACCCCCCTGTGTTGACCCTGAAGTCAAGTGACTTAAACTTAAAGCCTGTGAGGTCAAGTGACTTGACCCCCCTCAATCCTAAGATTTGCTGGGCTCCCGAGGTTGGCACCCAAAGCTTCTCCAAGGGCTGGGAGGGAGGGGAGGGTGAGGGGGAGGGAGTGAGGAATGCCTTAAGCCCGAACACCTGATTTAAGGCATTTGGCTTATGTCTCCCCCATCCCTAAAACCCCTCCCCTCCCCCCCAGCCACCCTTGGAGCTCTCCAGCTTCTCCCCTCCCTCCCCAGCCGCCCTTGGAGAAGCTCCTTCGGCTTTCTTCCAAGACACGTGGTCATCAGGTCGCTGGCGCCCACGCATAAGTCCTGGGGGAAGTGGGGGATCCGTCCGGGGGTGAACCAACAAACCAGCCAGATTGAAGCCAGGGAAGAACCGTTGTTTTTTGGAATCGATTCAGAAACCAGGGTTTCGGATTTCGGTGCTGCGATTCGTGGATTTCGCACCCATCCACAGCATTTGGTGGCCATGAATCAAAATCCAAATCGCACCCCCAGTGAACATCCGATTCAATCCAACCACTAAAATGGCTTCTAAAATGGCTGGTGAATTCACCTACAACCAAATTACTAGGTTCCAACCAAAATGGGATCTCAAAATCATGTTGGTGCGATAGGGAATGACCGACGTTTCAGGGAAACCCTTCAAAAAACGGTGTCTAGGGAGCCACAAGTGGATCCCAAACGGCTTGGGCCTTCGACAGGCCTCAAATCATGAGATCTTGGGCTAAGGAACCGCCAGGAAACGACCGGAGGCTTGGCTTGGACGGATCGGCCGTGGAAATCGATAGGTTTTCTGTGACAAAGGGGTTGACTCCCGTTTGTCTTCACTTTGGGAATTCCCTGGGTACCGCGGAAGCTGGCCCCACCAATTTTCCACAAAAGGATGCCAAGGCTTGTGTCGTTTGCCGGAAACCCATGTTCAAGGTTTGTCATTGGCTGAAGGCACACCAAAGGAGACCAACTAGCTGAGGGGTCTGTTGGATGTTAACTCCGGATAAAACAACATAGGCATATTAACAGGGGATGTCATTGTTGGGCAATGATCACTAGACAAAAATCCCGAATACCCCCTATTTACAGCATTGGACAGGTTCCATCTAGCTCCAGGGTCAACATTAGCGTTGACCTCGGATTGATCCGGAGGACCGGGGATGGTGGATGATCAATCTATGATTGGGGGTGGGCTTTTCTGGTATAGTAACGTAGGATCCTCCAACAAAATACATCTCAGGTCAACAAATTATTCTTAGAGACACCCTGCTGGGCTTCTTCTTTAAATTCACCAACCGATTCTACGGAACGATCTGCAAGAAAGGAACCTTCTCGGGTTGTTTCGGATCAAAGGCGTTCCTATTTCAAGGTCTTGCGCTCCTGGGGCCAGGTAGTTTCTACTTTTGGACAATGACACGTGAAGCTCTTTTTTTTACGCGAAGGACATGAATCGTGGGAACGAACGATACACAAATTTGCAACATGTGCAATATGTCCAAAATCTGAAATAAGAATCGGATGCCCTAGTAAAGGGCCTATGGGCGAAATCGCTCATTTTACCCCCCGAAACGGTGGAATCCCTCAAACCCCGAGTATCCGATATGCAAGCAACTCAAGGGCACCACCAGCATGCTTGCCTACATTCACATGCGGGAATGGTAAGTGACTTCCACCCCCAAACGCACATTGGTCATGGCGGAACGAGGGGCACCTGTGTTTTGATCTCTTTTCAAGCCAAACCCTAGGAGCCTGTTGGACCCTGAATATGAGTGCCGTTGACCCCCTTTGCGGCCTCAAACGATGGCGTCTTACGCTCCCAGGAAACGATTGGAGTAATCCAGGTACTTCCCGAGCAGTGCCCTAAGCCCCACTGACTCTATCAACATGCCCAGAGGCTCCAATTCGATGCATCGAAGGGGCCCGATTTCACCGCCAGGTTTTGAGACCGGGTCCCACACATTCTTCCGGGGTGTCGTGTTGGGGTCGGGTCTTCCATTGAAGGCCGAAGCAACGCTCGGAGCCTCTGGGTGGTTTGGCGGTTTATATCGGGAAGCCGGCGACCTTCCGGGAGCGGGGCGTGAAAAAACATGAGGAACCTCTCAGGCGCCAAATAGTTCGCCACAAATCCGCTAGGGACCCTTCTAACTGCCGCCCACCCCCAAAACAATTTCAAAAAAAACACAAAAACCTAAGGAACCATGTATCCAACCAACGTGTATAGGGTCTATTCCGAGACCTTCTTTCGGGGCAACTTGACACCCATTCCATCTTAGAACGCAACCAACGACAGTTTCGCTTTTGTGCTTTGTGCAAGAGGGGGGTCCCATTTTTAAGGGGCCAGCTTCAAGACAGCCTCTGAGAAAAAGATGGGAACTATCCAATCACCTTTTGGTTGCCCTTTGCCCTAGCCCCTTGGGCCCCTGAAGATTTGTTGGGCCCTTAGGGGTGTTTTTTGGGGGGCCTCAACTCATAAGATCTTGGGCTCCTGGTTGAGTCAACTAACCATGGGCTACTTTCATTTGCTTAAACCCGATGGAACAAGTGAGAAAACATGTCCAGCAGTGCAATCGATGCCATTTAAACCCAACTTCGGGGAACTCATTTCACTTCCTGGACGGGCCAAAAAAAGTCCAAGCTTGTTGATTGCCACGAAAATGCTCCAAACCCAAGAAGTGACTAGACTCCGAAACGGCACTGGGAAAGTGAGCCCATCAATCCACGCTAACATATTTCTGATTAGCATACCACAGGTATCGCCGAAACTGCGCACTCTTGGCGACCACTAGGCTTTGAATTGGTCAACACCGGGTTTGTCGCTCTGGGTGGGTACCCCCTTTTTTTGCGGGGTTTAACGTGGAAACCGAAAGGAATGCCACCCATGTTGCCCCCCCCCCCCCAAAAAAAAAAAAAAACAGAAAGAGACACATATGTATAGACATATATATATATATGTATATAAATTCGGGGATACTCTCATGTCTGTCTACTTCTCAGGTGCCCCCTCCCCCCCAAAAATAGAATAAAAAACAGGGACACACCCAGGTTTGTCTACTTTGACAACTCCGACCCGAGGTTTGTCTGTCGCATCCGGTCTCCTTGCCGGGCACGTCGCCCCGGGCCACAGCCTCGCAGCCCTGGTGGCTCGGGTTTTGGGTTTTCGCCGACTCGCCGACTTCTGACGCCAGCGGGGCTCCACCAAACGCCCTGCCTATAGAGTCTCCTTCTGCCCAGAAAAAGGTGGCCCAATTGACCCGAATCTGGGCAATGACCAACCATTTTTGAAGGGCAGGGAGAGTCTAGGTTGAACCAAGGTTCCAGGGAAACCTGCCTAGACTCTCCATGACCCACAAAAAAAATGGTTGGTCATTGCACAAAATTGAGGGGTCAAATGGGCCCATTTTTTTAGGGTCATGCAGAGTCTAGGTGGAACCAGACCCCCAGAAAAAGGGCCCATTTGAGCCATGGAGCCACGGCAAAAAAAAAAACGGCATTTTTGTTTGACATTGAAGCTCTTGGCGGGCCCCCACTCCAAAAGAAGGACCCTTGAAAAATGGGGTCATGGCACAAAATTAAGGGGTCAATTGGGCCCATTTTTCTAGGGGTCATGGAGAGTCTAGGTGGAACCAAGCAAAACCAAGGAACTAGGTCCTCCAGATTTGAGAGACTAGAAGAAGTTGGTGCCCGATGTTTTTCTTGTTGGTCTATTTTAGTTGGAGAATCCTCCCCTTAAAAAAGGGAGAGAAGGGCACTACTGGGGGACTTAGGGAAAGGTGAAAAAGGGAAGCTTCATTGGAAGAAACTAAGGGAAGCCAGAACCAATGAAGCCAGCTGGAAAAGGAAAACCAAGGGAAAGGGAATAGGTTCTGTACCAAAGGAGCCAAACCAAAGCAACTTTGGAACCCTAAGCCCTCACTGACATGCTGACTTGTCTGGCCACTCAGCTACGCTGCCCAGTGGAATTCCATTCATTGAGTCGCAAAGAGAAGGTCTGAGGACCCAAGAGGAACAACTCCATTTTGGGCGGGGGGTCCAACCTAAAAAAAGACACACCAAACATGGTGGCGGAAAATCGCCTTGTGGGCCACACCTATGACTACGTTGCAAGGTTTCTTTGCGCATCAGCAAAAGGCCCTCCAAACTAACAAAACAAAGGCTCCGGACCAGCAACTCCCAAACCCCTGCTTTTTGGAGATTCGAGACGTTGGACATGGGGAGAAGAAGTTGGGGGAGAAGACCCCCGTCTTGTTGCCCTCGGAGTTCAAGACCCTGTGACTTTGACCCTGCAACATTTGGACCCTAGGGATTTTGGACATCTCAGAGGCTCCGATCGGCTTCGGCTTTCAATGGAAGACCCGACCCCTCCAAAACGACACCCCGGAACAATGTTTGGGACCCGGTCTCAAAACCTGGCGGTTAAATCGGCCCCTTCGATACATCGAATTGGAGCCTCTGGGATGCGAAAAAAACGGGGGAATTTCTGGGCTGAACTCAAAAAACCGAACCCTGACTCCAGCTCTCCGCTCAAAGTCAAAAGTTCCGAGGAAGAGGGAGACTCCAGGAGAAAAAACAAGGGGGAAACAACTGGAACTTCGACCCAGCACGGTCCCAAAAAAACGTGCCCGTCGCCTGGGTCTCCATCAGCTTGGCCAGCGCCACAAGCTCATCAGACTGGTAGCCTGGCAGGCGAACCAGGAAATTCACCCGGGCATCAGCAGTTTGGCTGGGGGTTTGTGAAAAGCGTCACGCCAGTTTGGCTGGTGTCTGTGACAGCTTGGCCAAACATAGATGTTCTTTGGAGTTGGTAGCTAAGATTGGTTTCAAGGGAAATCATATGACCAAAAACACAATGGTCAAAACTCCTCATCCGTTGGTCATAGTCATGGTTCCCTCGGCAGGATCTACCAACGCCAAGTGGTGTGATGACAATGGCACGTGTTAGGCATAAAACTGAATGATTGGCGTCCCTTTGGTGTCTCCTTACATCAGCCCCAACAAGGATACCTTCAAACACACACCCACCCGGAGATTTTTTGACCCCTAGAAAAATAATTGGCCCATTTCACCCGAATCTTTCTTTTGGGCAATGACCAACAATTTTTTAAGGGTCAGAAGGAGAGTCTAGGTAGGGGTACCAACCAGTCCACAGGCTAAGGGACTTGTTTTCCTCACTTGCCCTTGGCCTAGGAACAAACGGTTACTTGGACCGTAGGCAACCATGGCTCTGACCCCCCATGGCAAGTCCCAAGTGGATGAGAATCCACTTGCTCAGCTACTTCCCATCTCTTCCATTTGCGGAAAAATAACCCCCCCGGCCAAAAAATGGGAAAATAGGTCCAGCCGTGAAAAAAAATCCCTTAAAAAACCCACCAGGGGGACATGACAAATGTTTTCGTTTTCAGCGAATGAAAAAGCTCGAAGTAAGGCTGTGGGAAGTGACGCCCCTCGACACATCAGCGGTCTCGGAACCCAAGAAAGTGGACTGGCAACTCAGATCCCCCGCTAACAGTTTAACTTTTACTGGGTTAAATGGAAACTACCGGTGAATGCTTTGGGGACCTTTACTACAAATGGACCAAACATGGGAAACCAAAAGGTCAAAAGGTCGGCTTTGGGCAAGTGAGAGACGAATGAACCAAGGAAAGCTTCTGTGCGATTCGTGCGATCTCGACACCGATACGAGTGCTCAGCTTTGCCAGCGAAAAGCCCCCGCAAGCCCTCGTAAAGATCTGTGAGTTCGCATAGCTGCCGATCCCGCCAAGACCATCTGGGGATGCTCAAATCGGGAACCCCCCCCCGTTGGGTGATTTTAATGGGAAACCAAAAGGAAACCAACAAGTTGGAGGGGTCCTGAATTTTCAGACACGCCCATCAAACCCGAAATTGAAAGCTCCTGATACGGAGAGCCCATTTTTTCAAGTGAGTTTCAATAAGCAAACCAAGAAAGAAGCCCCAGCCTCGCTGTGCGAACAGAACCTGCGCCCCTTGTGCCTCGGGTGAAACTTGGATGTTGAACCTGCTTGGTTTATACTGTTGTTGTTCTTTTCTTTTAGTGATTAAACTTACCTGGTCTTGTAGGTGACCATTATTAAACAATATGTATATATGTATATATACATATTAGTATATATTCATGGTTCTTTGGTAACCATGAATGTTTATTAAGATGTCTACGCCACTAATGGGAACCACCCTGTAAAAAACCCACGTGGCACATGGCTGGTGGCCTATCTGGCAGGGCTGGCCACTGGGCCCCAGAGGACGCTACTCGAAGTGAGTTGAACATCGGGCCCCGGAGTTGGACGGGCGAAACGGGGAAAATCTGAGGAACCCTGGCCGTTTTTTTTAGAGGATACCTAGACTCTCCCTAGACTCTCCGAATTTGACCCTCAAAAAATGGCTGGTCATTACTCAAAAGAAAGATTCGGGTCAAATGGGCCCATTCTAAAAGGGTCAGAAGGAGACTCTAGGTACGTATTTCTTGAAATGGTGTTGACAAGGCAACGAACATGCAACTAGTCGTTTCTTTGAAAACAGGCCAAAGCCTCGGAAAATAGCTTCAGGAAACATGGCAAAGTACTGCGACCAGCGCACCCAAAGCACGAAACAAAAGCAGGGTGTCTGCTCAGTTGCCCTTAGGGACCCTGAGGGGGAAACCTAGCAAATCTGAACAAAAACCCACGATCTGGGAATTCGCCTTGCCTTTGCGAATACGTCCCTTGAAAAACAAACAACGACAATGTGTCAAGGTAGTGAAATCGACTCCGCCTTGAACACCAACAGGGGAAAAAAAAACATTCGAGGTTCAGCCGCTACATGCGATTCGTCTCGGACCAGTGAAAACACGCAACCCACTCCCCAAAAAGGCCCTGAAAAAGGACGTCCACGGACTTAAACAACTCTGGGCTGATTGAAGTGTTATTTAAACTTTGTGTTTTGTTTTGACATGTTTGGTCCTGTGCGGATTGGGACAGTGAGTATTGCCCATGTGCTGCTGCTGCTGATGGCAGCGGTGGTGTGCTGTTCCCTGTTGCTTCTCAACCTGTGGCTTTATGTTAAACTACTGTGGGTGCACACAATTCATTTCGCACCACTTTGACAACCATGGGAAACCGTTGCTTGTTTGGTGTTTACAGGGAAGTGATCATTTCAGGGTTGCTTAGGTGGTGCAGGATTTCGTCCATCCACAGTATTCAGTGCTTGGCTCCCGTTTTGCTTGACTGGGACAAACAAAGCAGAACGTTGTCCATACGTTGCGCGCAGGCAGTTGTCCGAGGTCAAAGCGTCGAAAGCGAAAGGCTGATGAACCACACCCCGTTTCTGGTGGGATGAACCCTCCCGAACCCGGACCCTCGAATGCAATATCCAATCGGGAGTTTTGGAGTGGAAAGGCAAGCCAGCCAGCAAGCAAAGCAGGAAAAAAGGCAAAGCAAAGCAAGCCGTCAAGCACAACAAATCTTGTATGTTGGATTTGTGTTCGTCCGTTACATCAATATAATAATATGTGTCCTTACAACATGAGGTCTTTCTGTTTAAAGCCCCGGATTTGTATACCTAGACTCTCCACGACCCTGTAAACATGGACCCCTTTCTTTTGCATAATGACCAACCATTTTTTCAGGGTCAGAAGGAGACTCCGGGCTTCCATTTGGTTAAGGCCCCAGGAAGAAAAACAAGTATTTCCTGATATTTCCAGTAGTGATGAATTCCTTTTAACACCAACGAGGGAAAATAAAACACATTCTTAAGCAGATGGAGGCAGGCATATATTCTTGTTCGACCTCCCTGCCGGTCCCTGGGGAGAAAGAACCATCGATTCGAGGCACGTAGACCTGGGTGAGGTTCAAAGGACTGTCCTGACGAGGCGAGTCACGAGGCGTGTGGGACCCGTGCCTTGGAAAGATGGATGGGGGTCTCGCAAAATATCCCTAGTGATAGTCGATGGATGTGGTTCAGGGGTGGATTTGTGGGGGATGGTTGGGGGATGGATGGATGGATGGATGGATGGATGGATGGCTGGCTGGCTGGCTGGCTGGCTGGCTGGCTGGCTGGCTGGCTGGCTGGACGGATGGATGGATGGAGGGGAATCACCTTGGTCTTCTTTGAGGGCCTTTGGGGGTCCCCCAAAGAACACCTCAAATCTTGGATGGTCTTGGGCAAGGGAAACATAGCAACAGTTTCCTTTATATTTGCTTTGCAATGGTCCACCATATTGAGAAGCACCCATGGGTGAGAAACAGTGAATCTGGGTCTTTGCACCAGGTTAAGGAAAAGGATGCAAAAGGCCAATCCACAAACAATCACCCCAAGACCCAGTGATTTTAACCATAGGCCCTAGAACCAACAACCCCTTGAATTTCCGAATCTCCCCTTCAGGGAGTGAGATGGGTGGTATCTGGAAGCGCCGGGGTCTTTCTTCTCAAAAGCCGAACGCATACACTCATATATGAACACCTGGTATGAACCCTCGCTTATGGGTTAGTTTAGCGTTAGATATGGCTTGCTTATGGGAGATCCGCCTTGAAGGGGTCGACAATAGCCATGGGTTCACATATGGACCCACATCAGCCTTTCATCTTGCCGACCGTCCTCGCATTCGATGGTGCTGTCGTGGCTCTTCTGCGTACACGCGGACGGGCACCCGTTCTGCACCTGGCGCAAATTTGGTCGGAACCTCCGAGGTGTGCCTTGCGACCGGTCCGAATCTGACCCAATGGGTGTGCCCAAGCATGACTGGACCATTGCAGAGGCCAAGAGACTTCCATTGGAAGATGTTGGACCTCAAACACAGCCTTTTTGAGGTCCAACGATTCTTTACAGAACCAAATAAATACACGGGGTGTCACCAGTCTTTGCAGGGTCAGATTCAGCTCCAGATTCGGCTCCTTACCCCAAAAATGGGGGGGGGGGGTTGCAATATGTTTTGAAAGGCTCAGATTTCAGCTCCCGGCTTCTTTTCTCAGCCCTCGGGTTTCGGCTTGCAGCAGCTGTGGGCACCTTTTGATCCCCCGCAAAAAGTGACGAACTTTTAGTGTCCTCCATGCTGCCCGGTTAGCTTTTTAACTTTTAGTGGGTTAAATTCGGAAACTACCACTAAACACGGCTAAACAGTTAAGGAACCGGATGGGCTAAAAGCTTATAACTTTTAGTGGGTTAAATTTGGAAATCCAACCACTAAACACAAAAAGGATCTAAAAAGCGGAACCGGATGCCTGGCAGCCAAGTTTTGATCGGCTGAAAGCTGAGAAGCCGAGCACCGGGCACTCGGCCGGGCTGAAAGGGAAATTTTGAACTAAAAGGTGCTGATTGGCAGGCCATTAGCTCACCCTTCGATATCTCTACCTGGTTTGACATCATGGTTTCCACTTAGCTACCTACTGTGGATGGACTAAATCCTGCACCACCCAAAACAACCCTCGAATGATGATTCCCCTGTAAACACCAACGAACAATTTGTTTCCAATGGGTTCAAAGTGGTGTAGGATTTTGTCCATCCACAGTAGGTCCTCCAGTAGAGAGGTTAGGATAAGTTGGTACGCGTTTTTCTGTTTTGTCTATTGTGGTAGGGGAATCTATTGTGGTAGGGGAATCCTGCCAACCAAAAAAGACCCTGAAAGGGCACCGGGGGACCTAGCTGCTACAGTGGGACTGGAAGCACAGGTGGGAAAACATTAGATTCGAGTTTCTCACCCCCCACTTCCGTGGATCGGCAAAAACGGTTTTCCCCACTTTGAGCGGCACCAAAGCTCGAGTCCACCTAGACTCTCCATGACCCTAAAAAATGGTTGGTCATTTCTCAAAAGAAAAGGGTCATGACCCCTTTTTCTAGCGGTCACGGAGACCCTAGGTAAAAACGTTAAAAGTAAGATCTGCAATACCCCAGGCCCCCTCCGAAATATGTTCACCAAGTCCAAGGACCATGTGGATGGTTTATCCCTCTTAGGTGGGGCAGGATTTCGTCCATCCATAATAGGACATGTGTGCTTGGTCGAATTTAGAGGGAATGCAAAGGATGCGATGATGATAGTCATCATCAAAATTGTCATCATCATCGTGGCCATCATCATCGTCTGCTTGGGCAACTTCCAATGCCAGGGATGCTATGATGATAGTTCACCGGAGCTCATTTTTGTCATAATCATCATCATCCTGGTTATCATCCGTTATCATCCGTTATCATCATGACTTGCAATGCATCATCATCATCATCATCATTATTTGTTATCCTTCTTATCTTTCTTATATATACATACATTTCAAAAGTCACGTTAGACTCGACCTGCAATGCAATAAATGCTATGATGATAGTTAACAGAAAAGTGGTTTTCATCATCATTCTCATCATCATTGTAGTTCTCATCATCGTCCGCTTGCGATGCAAGGGATGCGACGACGATATCATAACCATCATCATCATCGTCATCATCAGCATCATCATCATCATCAGCAGCATCATCATCATCATCATCATCATCATCATTCATCGTCACATCATCATCACCAGCCATCATTATCATCATTATCATCATCACCATCATCATTGTTTGCTTACGCCACCTGCAATGCCAGGGATGCTATGATGATGATGATGGTTATCACCGGAGTCATTGTTATCAGAATTACCTCATTCTGGTTGTCCTCAGTGTCTGCTTTGGGCCACTTGCAATGCAAGGAATGCTATGATGACAGTTATCATCATCCTCATTATCCTAGTCAGTCATCATTGTCTTTTCTTATCTTTCGTATCTTTCTTATCCTTCTTCTGACACATACATGTTTCAGGTGACCCGACTTGCAATGCAAAGGATGCCATGATGATAGTCATCATCAAAGTTGTCGTCATCATCATTATCATCAGTTATCATCCTCATCCGCTGCCAAACAATTCGAGAAGTGCTTCGCTCACACCTAGAACCAGTCAAGTTTGTTCATTTCCACATGGGTTGTACCAACACAAGAGAGGGGTTGTCGGCACAGGGCGGCAGCGCTTGGGGTAGAATGTGGGTTTGGGGTACCCTCAAACGAACTTCAGTCACCATGTGGGTTCTTTTTTGGGGACCCCCACAAAATGGAGGGTTTTCCTTTTGGCCTGCCTTTCTTCTAGCAACCACCCGACAAAAACAAGAAGAGTGGGCTCTCCTCAAAAAAAGTTGACCCGCTCATGTGGAAAGAATACTTGCATGAACTCAGTGAAAAAAAAGGAAACCCTTTTTGGGGAAGACCATTTTAAGTGGGGCAGCCACAAAAAAACATGGACAAATAATTGGCGCCACCGAACAACTGAGTGAAGAAAACAAACCAAATTTGTTCGCTGGTTCTCGAAAAAGCACTCTCTTCGAGAAAAACAAAAAAACATGAGCGATACCCACGATATGATGTGGTCAGTCTCATGCGGGGCGGCCTCATTTTGTTGACATCCTTGTAAGAAACAGCATGGCATGCCTTGTCGAGCAAGAGGGCGCTGAACACGGTCCCGCAGCCGCAGGACACGGGGCACCACTGCCGGCTCCGCAAGCCCTGGACTCCCACCTGAGTCAAAATCAAAACCGATCGGTATTAAAATGGTCGTAATCCCAGAACCATGTACAGGACTAAGAAGGCGGAACATTCCGCAGCTAATTAGGGTTGGGATCGTCCCCCACTAACCTTCATCTACCCGGGTTTTGATTGTGGCTCACCTGAAGGATTTTTTTTTGAGCGAGAGGCTCGGGAGAAATGCGCGGAAAGGGATGGAGTGTTCGATGGGGGGATGGCTGAAACTGAAAAGGGGGGGATTGGATAGCGTTTGAAATTCAAAATCGCGTGGGGGGTGGCTTAGGTATAGGTATGTATAGGGTACGATCCCTTTAGCCTTGCCAGGATAAGTTTGGGGTGGTTTTGTGGGTGGGGGCTGATCTCGAAATGAGCCCCAAAAAAGTTGGGGTGGTTTGGGGGCACCTTGCCTTCCTAAACCCCCTAAACCCCCTCAATCGCTAACCGACGACAAGGGGATTGGAATTCCGGAAATGCATGTCTGAAAGGGCTGGCACTTGCACTTGCCGTGGCTTTTAAGGAACACTTTGGTGCCTAGACTCTCCATGACCCTGTCAAAATGGGTCGGGTCATGACCCGTCTTTTTCTTTCTTTTGGGTCATGACCCGGCCCATTTTTGATTCGGGTCAGATTCGGAGACTCCAGGTAGATGTGTCCCTTTTGGTTTTTTGCACGCCTTGAGGCCTTCGCGGCTGAAAGGCACCGCAAGCTCGAGCCTGGCTCCAGATGCAACCAGAACCGGAAGTTTTCGTCCTTGGGAATGGAAGGAGAAGCTGAGTCTCCGAATCTGAGCCTTAAAAAATGGGCCGGGTCACCCAAAAGAAAGCTTCGGGTCATGACCCGGCCCATTTTTACGGGGTCATGGAGAGTCTAGGTACTTCACGGTGGAGGAATCGCATCTCCAACCCTGGCCGAGCCCGCTTGGACGAACCGCTTTAAAGATACGGACCCCACTCGGCTCAGCGGAACACCTGGAGAAGGCGGCGATCTAGAGACAGAGGGTCAAGAGGCAAGTAAATCAAGGGTTGTTCTTAACGGCCCTCAAATAGGCAGACATGGCAAGGATGGTTTCGCTGCAGAGCCATTGATTGTAGGCCTGGAGAATTAAACAACAAGTCGAAGCCCGGTTGAGCTGCTAAGCCATTGCTTGCAGGGCCCTGGACATTCCTTTGCGTACTTTTCCCGGGCGCTTTAGACGTGCGCCTTTTTGCTGGTTTGTTGCGGGCGTTGTGCGGCTTTTTGCGGCCACTTGCGGGCGTTTTGCCTTGCTTATGCGTTGCGGGCGTTAGCGTTGCAAGATGAGGCACAAACAGAAACTACAAGAAAAACGTACTCGTTGGAATGTCAATTAGAGAAGACGAAAAAGCCATCGGTTAAGCCGTGTCCTAGAGATTTTGTCGTTTTCCTTGGACCCCAAAACACGGATGAGAAACCACTCCGAAACCGCTTGAGTGGCTCCACATGTGCCGCAAGTTGCCAAAGGAAGGCGACCTAAGAGTAACAGCAGCAACCTGAGCCACGCGGAAACGGCAACCAAAGCTGACTTTTCAATGGCAAAGTGGAATACATCCCTTCTCCATCCATCCATCTCTTTCTCTATAATCCATATCCATATCCATATCCATACCCATACCCATCCATCCATCCCATCCAACTCCATCCATCATTAGCAAAAAACAGCAGGAAGGTGTCAGACATTGATGCTGTTTGTTGCAAACCTGGGAGATGCAAGCTCCAACCCTGAAAACCATGGGCCACTCTGTGTGCTTCGCGGAAACACCTGCAACAGGAACATCCTGTCGGCATAAGGGGAGAAGGTCCGAGTGTTGGGCCTGCTTGTATTGTTTCCAAATGTGGCGGCCAGGCCAAAAGTTGAACTTAGGCTTAGACGCATTGTGCAAATACTGAAAAGACGCCGACAAGTTTGCATCTGTAATCCTAACAACTCTTGGTATAGCAAAAGACTTCGTTTTTTGCAGCCCCCCAGAACAAAGAAACAGAACCCAAAACCAAAAAGCAACACGACGCAAGAACAGTGAAGGTTTGCTTGAGACTCTGAGCCTGATTGTGTCTAACCCTTTTTGATCGGTTTGGGAGGAAACATATTGAAGCCATCTGAGTCACAATCAACACCTGGTACTAACAAAGCTAACAGAATAGAAATGCGACCGCACCTATTTCCCTTACTAGCCTTCATCTATGCGGCTCCCTGATAGAACCTGTAGCCACGCTGGCTCATCTATTCTTGACCCATCAATCCTCGGTTGCTGTCTGCTCCCCTGCTAAAAGTTTAACTTTTAATTAGTGGTTTGATGGAAAACCCATTAGTTGGCAAAAAGTTAAAGTCCTAACATCCAAGCAAAATGCACCAACGAATCAGCTCGGCGGAATACACGCAGTGAAGGATCCCCCCAACTGACCGACCAAAGTGGCCGGTCCTGAACTGGATGCCCATGTCTGACGCCACCGAAGTCTGGCTAAGTCCGAGCTTTTGGTTTGCCAAACCGAAAACCCAGATGGATCTTCTCGAAAAGGTATGAAGTTCAGTATCTTGGAGAGTAAGGCTTTTCCGACCACACCAGTACAAACGAAACGAACTAACACACAGAGAGGTCACTGAATTTGTCCCATCCAAAAGTTGATCAATTGACTGGTTTCCGTTGAAATGATCGCCACTTTTGGAGCTTCCAATGAGTTGGAGTTGGAGGAATTCCTGAACCTGCATATCTTGGTTGACGTTGGAAGGGGAGCAAAAAAAAAACTTTAGCAGTTAAGTGGGGCTTTCCCACGAAACCACAACAAGCGAAAATGTAAATTGTTTCCCAACAACCATGATATTGTCTTCATTGAGGGCACTGTCTGGCAGTAGGACACCACATCTTTGCAGCTGGAGATGGAGAGGTTGCCGGTGGCCATCTGCAAAATGCCTCGAGCTCAGAATGTTCTCAGGTTTGATTCCCCATTCTCTTCACCCATCGTTCTTTTTAGAAACCACCTTTTTTTCCTGGTTTTTGGCCCATTTTTTGAAGAGAAGGATCCCTGAAGAGAATGGCTAAGTCCCCATGAAAACAAAACAAAAACATATTTCCAGTAGTGATGCATTCCTTTTCAACCCAACAAAGGAAAGTAAACAATACTCTTAAGCAAATGGAGGGAAGAACTTTTAATGGCATAAATTCGGAAACTACCACTAAACACTAAAAGGCTAGAAAGCTAAGGGGATGGCTGGGAGCCACCAAGCTCAGAATGTGGCACTCGCTCAGAAAATGTGGTATTGTTAACCCCGGATTCATAAACCCCTGGTTGATTAGTAGGGGGTTGCTTTTCCCGGTTTTAGTGGGGAGTTAGAAGGGGAACATCCCTATATTCGTAAACAGAGGTTTATTAATCCGGGGTCAACATGACTCTTCGTGGACTGTCCTCTCACTTCTGATCGAGTGGATTGGCCAACAAAAAGTCCCCACCACCTCAAATAATGAGGTCTTGGGCTCCTATGGAAAGGACATTTCAAAAAAGTACAAAAAGGGCATCTGCTTTGTACCTGGAGTCTCCGAACCTGACCCATTGAAAATGGTTGGTCAGACTACCCAAAAGAACGGGCTGGCAACCCATGTTTGATTCGGGTCAGATTCGGAGACCTCAGGTACCCCTATGCTGAGAGGGTTGGGTTGCCCAGGCCAAAAGCCGGTTTGCCATTGCCATGTTCTACCATGGTAGCTTGTGTTAAAGCGCCCCCCAAAGAAACAACACATCCCAAAAAGGGACCACGGAAAGACGCTTAGATGGTCCAGGATGAAACGCGAACTTAGCTCTCGAATTGATGCCCAAAACGTTGGGTCTTGCAAAAGGAGACTCCGATCCTACGTAGTCTAAGAAACAGCTTGGATGCGGCGTTTGTGGCTCTACCCCTGCAGGGTATTGAAAAAGTACTTAAAGATTTCTAAAAAAGGACCAACACGGAGAAAAACAGGGGGATTCCTCAAAAGGCGCAGCCAAACCGTTTTCTGGGAAAAGTTACTCTCTAGGAGTTGCAAGACACACGGGGACTCAAGAGTACAGCAAGTAGCTTTTCATGGGTGAACACAATTAATAAAGCAAATAGATGGCCGTGGTGATTGGTTCAAACCCGTCTAAACCAGTGGATCATGTTCTGACCCATTCACTGGCTTTTTTCGGGGTTGCTCCTCCAGTAGAGAGGTTAGAATCAGGGAGCCTTTTGTTTCTTCTTTTTTTTTTTTCGGTATGCGATTTTAGTAGGGGAGCCCCGCCCCCAAAAAAAGCAAACTATAACTAGACTCTCCATGGCCCTTCAAGAATGGGGACATGACCCCTTTCTTTTGGGTAATGATCCCATTTCTGCAATTTGTCATTCTCCGTGCTTCGATTTGCTTCAGTCCCCTGGAGAAAGAAAGACCGTAGTGACAGACTCCTTAAAAAAGAAGAAGAAACAACAGACGCAGGGGAAGACACAACATAATCTTAAGCAACTATTGGTTCAACTATACCATCCTTCTTGCGGGGTTCATACATTCAGCCTGCGACATTCAGCCCAAACGGGCCCAAACAAAATGGCGCAACGGTTGGTTTTTCCTTTTGGCCTCCCTTTAAACCCAACCGGCAGGGTGTTCCCCTACTGGGTCCTCCAGTAGAGAGGTTAGAATAAAGGTGCCCTTTTTTCTGTAGTCGATTTTTGTAGGGGAACCCTCGGCTAAAAAAGGGTAAAAGGGCACCACTGGGAGACCTAGCCCAAAAAAAAAAAAACTCATGTTGCCCGGGGTCAAAGGCCCTCTGGTCCAAGGGATCCTGGACCTGGATTTCCCATTGGAAGTTCTGGTGTCCGAACGCCACGTTCGGAGCTTCCAAAAGGGGAATCGGTGCCCGACACGTTGAGGCGTTGAGGCCGCGCACGGCGGCGCGATATGTGACCTTGTGGGGGCTAATACAATTCACTTCCTGGGTGGATTGGCCAAAACAAGTCCAACCTTTTGAATTTACCACTAAACTGGTCTTCCACTTTAGAAGTACAAAGTTTAGGAACTCAGGAAGTGGGATAAGCACCCGTTTGCCTAACCGTAGGAGCCCAAACCCTTTTGAAGCGAAAAGAGCCCAAGACCCCTTTGCGAAATATGAGTGCCGTTGATTTTTTGGGGCCTCAAATGAGGTCTAGGTCTTTGGCTAGGGTAAGGAGTATCATGAAAATCTGGTCAACCATTCTTAGGGGGGCTCAGCCCCCTGCTAGGTCCTCCAGTAGAGAGGTTAGAATATTGGTACCCTTTTTTCTGTAGTCTATTTTAGTAGGGGAACCCTCCCAACCAAAAAAGACCCTAAAAGGGCACGATCCTGGTGGACCCAGATTTTTGGGGGGCTCAACCCGCTGGGTTCAAAAAGGACAAAGAAACAAGCCCTGACCAAGGGGCCCTTGCCCATGTTGGACCAGTAGTCCGTGCCCGTGTCGTCGTCCGCGTCGTTGCAATTCCGCTTGCTGCCGGCTTCTATGACCGTCTCCTCGCTGACAATGTGCAGGAGCCTCGATCCCAGACGGAAAAAAGCGCCTGGAGCGTGGCCCGATATGGGTGTGGCTCTTATCCATGGTTGAAACCGTAAGGTTTGTTGGTATTTACAGGGGATTCCATAGGTGAGGCTCAAAATAAAAGAGGGTATGGGTCTCAAAATTAAACAGCAGGGGCAAACCGCGGGTTTTGGTCCATGTTTCCACTTACCAGAGCAAGCCATTTTGGCACCGGTTTTTCGAGCCACAGCCATATGTCTAGGGCTTCCTTCCCCATTATTTTCAGGGATCCTTCTTTCTAGAACCTCCCCCCTGAAAACCCAGGAAAAAACGGCTGATTTTTGAGAAGCACGATGGATGAACATAATGGGGAATCAACCCCTAGAATATGGGTATGGTTCAACATTGGGGCAGCTTTGAGGGCCTCTCTTGCTTTGGAAGATATCCTTTGGGGGGCGGTTTTAAAGGGAACCCACAGGATTAAACACCAAAAACAGGTGCCCCAGAATGGGGTGGTTTCCCCTGGTTTCCTCCCCAGAGCGGGGTGCGCCGCTTGTCATATTCCGGTACATCGGCCCGGATAGATGAAGGTTAGTAAGGGACAATCCCAGCCATAAATAGTTGTGGGAATCCGCCTTCTTAATTCTTGAAGCATGGTTCTGGATTGCAACCATTTTCATACCGAATTTTGATTCTGACTCACATGAGGGTCTTTGGTCCCGTCAATTAGCCCGAAACACTAAGAAATGGATCCCTTCATCAGGCAAAGAAAGCACTCCCAGTGAGTCCATTTCCCAGGTTTTGTGGGTACCCAATATGAAATTGCAAGAGGACGATGGGTAGGGTAACTGGGATTGATTGGCTATGGTATTTTTTACCAATTCCCTGTATGGGGACGCTCCGGGACCACTTTTTTGGGGTTCAGTTGGATCCCAAGCGGTCCAAAAGGCAGTTTTTGAGGGGGCGTGCTTCTGGGATTCTGTTGTGCTTGGGATTGTGAGTCCAAACTCGCGGGGCTTATCAGGGATAGAATTCCCCCCTTTGTATTGATTGTAGGACATCTAGCAAGTTCCTCCCCTCCCCCAAAAATGCTATAGACTGGTGAGGTCTTTTCAACTGAAACATCAACCCATGGCCCTCCAGCCACAAACCGAACCCCTCCATGGGAAAAAGCGCACAACTTGTTTGGCAGTGCACCCCGTCCCGCCCCTTAAAAAAAAGGACATGCCAATCACGTATCTGAATAACAGTAAAATCCTGCAAGAAACTAAGGGCTCGTAAACGAGGCTCACACATGGACGCATTCCGCCTGTGACGACTGGCTTGTACATGTATCTGGCTTCCCAAGCCACAAACCGAACCCCTCCATGGGAAAAAGTGCACAACTTGTTTGGCAGTGTTTTTTTCATTCAGGGGCCCCACCCCACCCCACCCCGCCCTGCCCCGCCCCGCCCCGTCCCGCCCCTTAAACAAAAAGGACATGCCAATCACGTATGTGAATAACAGTAAAATCCTGCAAGAAACTAAGGGCTCGTAAACGAGGCTCACACATGGACGCATTCCGCCTGTGACGACTGGCTTGTACATGTATCTGGCTTCCCAAGCCACAAACCGAACCCCTCCATGGGAAAAAGTGCACAACTTGTTTGGCAGTGTTTTTTTCATTCAGGGGCCCCACCCCACCCCACCCCGCCCTGCCCCGCCCCGCCCCGTCCCGCCCCTTAAACAAAAAGGACATGCCAATCACGTATGTGAATAACAGTAAAATCCTGCAAGAAACTAAGGGCTCGTAAACGAGTCTCACACATGGACGCATTCCGCCTGTGACGACTGGCTTGTACTTGTGGGCACATGTGGCCAGTGATACGACTTTGCTAGAAGGGACAACTGTTCCTGTTCGGGCTGTCCATACTGTGGATGGACAAAATCCTGCACCACTTAAACCGTCGTTTGCTTGGTGGTTACAGGGAAGTCATCATTCCAAGGGTGGATTTCGCCACCATCCACAGTATTCTTCCAATTTGTTAAGACCCCTGGACCCTGGACAAAATATTTCCAGTAGTGACAGATTCCCTTTAAAGCCAACAAGGGAAACATATTCTTGAGCAAATGGAAGTATTTGCTGGGAACTCCAACGAACAACAGGGAGGTTCTGGCTCTTGGCCTAGTTCGTTCGGGATCATTGTGAACACCACAATGATCCAAGTGTCTTGCAGTGTGAAAGTACCCTTTAAAATTGGGTTATGACCCAGGTAATGCCCCCTTTTAAAAGGGTCATGGAGACTCCAGGTAGATGGTACCATCAAGTTGCGCTGCCCTTCGTTCATCTGCACAAATACCTATATGGGGCGCCAGTTGTGGGCGAACGATTCTCTGTCCCTGATATCGCAGTGGGACCAAGCACCACTTTTTCTGCCCTCAACACTCCGGATACAACCTGGTGACAACATAACGTCCGTTTTCTTGAGTCCCTTCCAAAAAAATAAGAAAGACACGGTAGTGATAGATTCCCTCTAGTACCAGGTGAACTTCAACAATTTATTCATCTCAGCAAATGGAAGACAATGGCTAAATTGCATACAACAACACATGGCAAACTGAGGCCAAGGTGCTTGTCGAATGCTGGCTCGTAGAGACTCATGGGCGCATAGGGATTTCCTGTGCGATCGGCATGTTGATGATGTCGAGAAAAACAAAAAAAACAGTCTTCATTTTGGTGTTGAAAAAGATACATGTTTCAAATAATTACAAACTCTATCTTTTAAGGAGCCCTGTGTTCGTTGGTTTGGTGTGCAGAGTCTTGCAAAATGGGGGGTTGGTCGAAGGTTTACAAGGGGCGACCATGAGGGAAACCGCCAACGGCGGCTTTCATGGGAAAAGTGGCCCATGGTCATCGGCTCAACGGCCACGAAGCCTCGGCAACACGCACATGGCCCAATCCCATACCCTGGGTCACACAAAATTTCTCCTGGAAACAAAATGGCGTTAGCACGTTGTCTAGGTCCTCCACTAAAGAGGTTAAGGGTACCAACAGGAACCCCCAAACCAACAATCCAGACCAGTAATTCTAGGTCCTCCAGATTTGAGAGGTTAAGGGTACCAACTTCTTTCTGTAGACTACTTTAGTAGGGAACCCTCCCCAAAAAGGTAACAGCGCACTACTGGGGGGCCTAGTGGTTTTTGCGCTCAAGCTCCACATTCGGCCGGATGGTCCTTGGGCTTCATTCAGCCACCTTTTTCAACCGGAGCCCCTTGGAGCTGAAAATTGGACGAATTTCGAAGCCTGAGGACCCTGAATGGCCACCCTTGGTTTCACTTGGTTTCCCTTCGGTTTCCCTCGGTTTCACTTGGTTTCCCTCGGTTTCCCGTAGTTTTCTTGGATTTCCATAGTCATATTTGGGGTCCCTACGTGGCTGCTAAGGACACCTGGCCCAAAACTATAGGAGACCCGAACCCGTTCCGCTCAGCGCCCGGGCCCTACTTTTTGGGCTATCCGACTCGGTAGACTTCAGCCCAGTGGGGATGACCCTGATGATTAAACCACCAGGTAAACCAGGGCCATCTCTTGTTCGACCAAAACGACCAGAAAGGACACCTATGATTTCTGCGTGTAAGTCGACAATGGGGAAGTCAAATGGAGCCCTGCAACAATCACAACTTGGATGATTAAGCTGCTCTTCATGCAACTGCTTGAGCCGCAAATTCCTGGGTGGATTGCCCATTCAGTTCGATTTGCTTCAACACCCAGCTGTTTCGGTTCCCCTGCTTAGAAGGTTCGGACGGAAAGTTGCCTGAAACCCATCTGTCCATCATGCCGCGCGGTTGTTTGTTGCTTGAAACCAAAGCGATGGCAGACCCAGAAACGCAGGAAGAATCTCAGTGAATCCTACTCAAAAGGATAATTACTCTCAGCACTTACAATACCTGGATCCGATTGAGTCGTCTACAAAGGATCTATTTATCAAAATTGCAATGCGCCCCCGTGCCTTCAACGGCAGGGTCTGAAGTGCTGGTAATGGGGAAAAAGAAGGCACGCGTTTTGAGTAGTTGAACTTAAAGCCCCTTCCGGAGAAGGAAACAAGGGCACTTAATGCCACAAACAATTCCAATGATGGTCCGGGATTTAGCCAAGTGCTTGGTAGCCACGTTCATAGCACGCGTCCCATTCTAAGTTCCCTTTGCGGGTTGTATCCGTAAGCATCTAGGCAACTCCCAGACCCTCGAATCTAAGTAAAAGAAATACACAAAAAACACAATATTATTATTATCCGAGTAAAAAACCCACACAAAAAACACACACACGATTCTCACTTGTGGCTCTTCTTGGCAAGCCAATCATGGACTATTTCGCACCCCGAATCCCCAACAGCCACGGAACTCTCGGGAAGCTTGAGCCCTGGCCAGAGCCCTGGCCAGAGAACCCCCAGGATCCCCAACTGTTGGCGAACAAACACCCAAACAAGCTTGTCATATTTCGCACCCGGTAAAACCAAGATCACAGAACTCGAGTTGCCCGAATTGCTTTCCGCCGAAAGGCCATTCTTGTCGGATATGAGGGACTCAGTGGCCCTGTGCAGGTAGTTGGCGTTGCTGGCTGAGCCTTCCTCATCAAAGCCTGAGATTCATGCGACGAGTCGGATCTCCAAAAATTTCGAGGGGGGTTCCTTTTCTCAAAGGCTGAATGTACGTCCATACGGGTTTGTCTTTGTTTGCTCTCGGTTTGTGGGTGTGGTGTTAAAAGGAAACGACAGAACACACCGTTCCGTCAAGGAATGCACCCCACGTTTCTGGCTTCCGGCCATCCCTGTGGTGGGGTTGTGGTGGGTTAGGCTTGGTTTAGGGTTGGTCTAGGGGCTTGTGGTTTTGGGTTCGCTTAGGTTGGTTCAGGGGTGGTTTAGGTTTAGAGTGTGGTTAGTCTTGGTTTATGATGTGTGTTTAGGCTTGGTTTGGGGGGGGGGGGGCTGGGAGCCCGGAGCCCGGGACCAGAAAAAGGACCTAAACCATCAGCCAGAGATTTTGCTGTCCACTTGTAACCCACACAACAAGGGTACCCTCAAAAGGCACAGCCATATTCATGCTTCCAAGAGTGGCCGAGAAAAACAAAAAACCTATGCCTTATGGGTAGGGCTTGGCGTGTGGCACTGCACATGTTTCTACCACTCTTTTTAGGGGTAGATTTGTTTTTGCTTTTTTTGGGGGGGATGGGCACCGTCTTAGATTGGTCTGAGCATGTCTGATCATGTCTGCGCTTGCGCTTGAGCAAATTTGTCAACCAAGCGGTTGGGGCTTTTGGGTCGAGGCTGAGCCCTGGGGACTGAGTCTGAAAGCGGGCCTGAAAGTACCAGCTTCAGCCTTACAGGAGTGCATGGACCGACGTCATTGCTGCCTTTCGCATGGGTCAAAGGCCAAGTCATAGTTTTTTTTGTTTTTTTGTTTCGGGGATCCTCGCCCACCGTTTTCACGAAGCAAGGCATGAGGCGTTTGGTTGCAGCTCGCCTTTGAACCTTGTGGGCTGGCGCTCTCTCAGCGGTGTGAAACTGGCCGGAGTGGAGGGCTGGGACGCGCCAAGGACGTCGAAAAGCGTGGCCGCATTTACGTCCAACCCCTTTTCAAGGTGTTTCTCTTTCATCCTAGAGTCTCCGTGACCCCTAGACAAAAGGGGGTTTTCTAAGGGTCATGGAGAGTCTAGGACGAACCATGTCGCAGGGGAGGTCTTGAAAAGTAGGTCCAAGAAGGCCTGGTGCGATGGCATGGTTCTAAGTCGATCGCGTTCTGTGAGGGACAATACACCAGGGCAAAAAACAAAAAAATCGTCCCGGATCATCTAAGTCAAACAACCATGATTATTAGAGGAATCTCCTTTTGGAGGTAGCTTGCTGAATTCCATGTTACTCGCAGGGCAGAAGGGGACGGACTCCACGCGACAAGTGGGCATCCCCTTCCAAGAACATGAAACCAGAGCCTCACCAAGCAAGTTGTTTACCAAGGGAAATCGTCTGTTTCAACACATACCCTAAAATAGGGGGCAGTGTGAGTCGGCGTAATGTTGACCCAGGATTAATAAACCTGTTCCATTATTAGGGGGTGTTCCCTCCAAAAGTGGTGTGAATCCCCACTAAAAGGGGAAAAGCACCACCCTTATCAAAATCAACCAGGGGTTCTGCTTAATCCGGGGTTAACATTATGGAGTCCATCCTGTCGAGCTAGGCAAGTTTGAATGCCAACTGCGACAAGAAGGACACTCTTCTTCTGGGTTGTTTTTATGAGACGCGGGGCCAAAAAAGAAACGAGTGACCCGATGAGTTGACGGACCAAAACCAGATTTGAACTGTTGGGGGCCAACTAGGTCCTCCAGTGGAGAGGTTAGAATAAGGGTACCCACTTTTTCTGTCGACTATTTTAGTGTGGGAACCCTCCCCCAAAACAGGGTAAAAGGGCACTGGGGGACCTTGTCAAGAATTAAGAAGGCGGATTCCCGCAACGATTCATGGCTGGGATTGTCCCTAACCTTCATCTTCCCTGTTTTTATTGTGGCTCATGTTGTCTTGGGCCTCTATACTAGAACAACGGACAAACCTACCGCAAAAAAGTTCGAAGTTTGCCAACTCAGGCAAGATAAATTCACTTCCTGGGTGGATGGGTCAGAAAAAAGTTCCCAACCCTAAAATTGGAACGCCACTAAAATGGTTCAACCCCAAAAGTGACTCAAGCCCATTTTTGCTCCAGAAGTGAGGCTTGAGGCCTTTTTCTAGGCCCTCCTAGAGAGGTTCGAAGAAGTTGGTACCCGATATTTTTCTGGACGTCGATTTTAGGAGGGTTCCGAAACCCTCACCAAAAAAGTTGGGAGGGAAAGAGCACCGTTCGCTGGGGACCTATTCCCAAACTGGGCCTCGTTTTAGGTCCGTGCGTCCTGAAAAAATGGTTGGTCATCACCCAAAATCATGGGGTCATGGACCCATTTTTAAAGGGTCAGAAGGAGACTCCAGGTAGTGCCACACTGGGCCTCGGCCCCGTTTACTAGGCCCTCCAGTAGAGAGGTTCGAATAAGGGTACCAACTTTTTTCTGTAGTCTATTTTAGAGGGGAACAAAAAGGGGTAGAAGGGCACTACTGGGGAGGCCTCGTTTGGGTCCGAAGCGTTCGTGCGCTCAGTGGCCGTCGGTGTTGCTCCAGTGCAGTCGCCCCAAGCCATCCGTGGCCACCGCGAAGTCGCGGTTCCCCCCGCAAAGGCCTTCCCAGGTACTCTGCCGCGCCTCACGCGACGGACGCGACAGGTCGTGTTGACCCGGGGCTGAAATGTAGATGTGGGGGTCCCCCTCCCTAGGGGTCCCTCGTTGACAATGGGGTCAACCAATTTTGGATTTCCGTCAGAAGGATCATGGTGGCCCCAGATCAATCAACCCCAGTCTATTAATATGGGGGTGTTCCCGAGAGGAAATCTTCCATTTGGTTTTTCGACCCCTGGAAAAAATCTAAAATATGTCCAGTAGTGATAGGTTCCTGCAGGGGATCTGAGGACTGCCCTGAAATAAGGTTTACGCTAGGGTTGATTCCTGTTCCATTCTTTTCAACCATCGTTCTTTCTCCCGGGTGGGTGTTGGCCCCTCCAAAAGTGGTCTGATTACTAAAAAGCCAGAAATGGGCACCCCCTGCTAATGAACTGGGGTTGATGAAAATCTGGGGTCAACATAGGGAATGACCGAGCCCGGGTGTTGGGAATGAACTGGAGGGGATGGTTTATGTTGAATATGGGTGTGTCTTTCTTTAAGTTGGTATCCCAAACCCCCCAAAAAAAGACCAACACTCCCAGATCAGCTTTTTCCGCCAATTGGTTACCGTAGCCCTTGGTTACCCTAAATATGAGGCTCTTCGACCCTAGGCCTCATTTTTTTGAGGTCTTGGGCTCCTAGGCTCAACATCCCCAAGCCACCAATCTAAACCAGCAACCAAAGGTTTCCCACGGAGGCTAATCCCTTTTATCATGGTAGTCCTTGGTTGATGTTTCTCAAAACAATCGGCCCCAAATGGCAGGGGCTTCCTTGAGGGGTCCACCATCAAACCTTCGAATTGTTGTTCTGGCTCTCTGGGTTATTTGCCCAGAACAAAACTAACCCCGCCATCTAAGGCCAGACGAACCTACTCCCTATGCAATATCTTCCAATGGCTTGAACCCAAAATGAAAGATTCAACATATATTACTAGTAGATTCCCATAAGCCTCAATATGTCCAGGAGTCCAGTCGATTCCCTGAAGAAAAACACCAGTCCAGCAGATTCAAATTCAAAAACAAGCAAAAGCAGTAGATTCCCTATTGAAAAACAAAATATGTCCAGTAGATTCCCTTTAACACCATGATCGCGTTCCTAGTTTCATATTAACTTTCAGCAACTGGAAGTCGGTGGACGGACAAAAGGGCCAAGCGTTGGGTCAGCTCGTCGCCCACGGGATCTTAATTTCCGAGCCCAAGACCGGGGCCTTTGACGTCGAAAGGCCTCAAAGAACGAGGTCCCAGAGGCGCCATTTGGGATTGGTGTGAGGTTTTGCGACCTCAAAACGAGTTGCCTTGGCTTTTTGAGGCCCGAAGATTCTCAGGGCAGATGCAAAAGGAATGACGGCAACTCGTTGATTTGCAGGAGAATCGTGAAATGGCAAGGTGACGGCTTTCATCGCCAAGCAGAAACACTCGGAAATCAATTACCTAGACTCTCCATGACCCTTAAGAAAAGTGGGGTCATTGCCCAAAAGAAAGATTCGGGTCAAATGGGCCCATTTTTTAAGGGTCAGAAGGAGACTCTTGGTATATGCAAGGCTTTGCGTGTCCCAAATCCCGAACCAGAGAAGGATCACCTTCGTTGGCTGGCAGTTCTCGGAGGCTCCGCATCAAAAGCTCGAAAGAGGGATACTTGCCCCGCTGATGAGTTCCATATGCTGTGATGTCCCTTTGACGTCCCTTAACAACAACCTAAAAAGGGTGATCCAGAGGAAAAACCAACCCCAGATTTCCCGATTTGCAGTTTGGGAGGTCTTGAACTGACTTCATTGTTTTACTGCGTGAATGGACTTGGCAGAGGGACCTCCCGAAACCCGCTTGCGTGGCCATGGAAGGAAAATCATCGGCACCGACTCTTAGGCAGCGGCCGTTTTTTGTTGGCCTTCCAACGGAAGGAACCGGGGCACAACTGGACGTTTGGGATTGCATGGACGTGTTTCTCAAAATAGTGGCCCTGCATGCTGTGTGATGTGGGGGAAGCAACAGGAAAACACCAAACGACCACCTCTTCAGGGCTCCTAATTTTGAGAAGCATCATTTAGGTGGGGATTCATGTCCAACCGCTGTTGAAAGGGTCCCCTTTTGAACTCGCTGGCGTGCCATTTCCTTCCCTCCATGTGCTGAAGAAACAGCGCAGCAGCGATACTAGATTCCCGTTAAAACCAGCAGGGGAAGAGAAACAATCGTCTTACCCTAGCGGCCCCTTGGACCTCATGATTTGAGGCCTTTCCTATGGCTGGAAAAAAAGGGCCAACTCAAAAAGAATTGGGGCAATTCGCAGCTTCGCCGATCGTGTTCTAAACGTTTCCCACCACCACCGTTGCTTTCCGGGCGTTCGTGATCGAAACGTCACCCCCCAAAAAATGGTTCAAAATTCGAAGCTTCACCGTTGCTTTCCGGTCGTGCTTCACACCCACCGTTGCCTTCTTTCCGGTCCGTTTACCAGCCACCGTGGCCTTCTTTCCGGTCCGGTCGTCCGTGAGTGCGAGACGAATCCGCTTCCAGCTGCACCACCCTAAGCCCCAAACCCTGAACCTTAAACTTTGACGCCTCCAGGGCCGGCATCAAAAGGAAGTGCAGGGACAGCGCCATCAGCCCCACGAGCACCAGCAAATAGAACACCTCGAAGAAGCTCTTCGGACGAGTTTTCCAACATGGAGTGGGCCCCGAAACCCCCCCGAAACCCCGGGTTTGGGTGCCTGGAGTCTCCGAACCTGACCCTTGAAATATGGTTCGACATGGAGTGCTTTCAACATGGAGTGGGTGAAAAAGAACGGATTTTCGGTGCCTGGAGGCTCCTTCTGACGGAAAAAAACAAAAAGAAACACGGTTTGGTGGCCCCTTTTATGGCGGACCGACAGGGAGTTTTCAGCTTGGATGAGGAACCTGAAACGCCGGGCTTGGTGCCTGGAGTCTCCGAATCTGACCCTTAAAAAATGGTTGGTCATTACCCAAAAGAAAGATTTACAGGGCCCTTTTTATCGCGGACCAACAGGGATTTTTGCACGAATTCCAAAATGGGTGTCTGTTTTGCAGGTACCCTTGTTGGGATGGGTCTCAAAGGGGAACACAACGAATTGAGACAGACCCAAATGTGCTTCGGAGCCGAAAGGGGGAGGACACCCTGCTGGTGGCCCTTTGATTTATTCAACAGGTCTACCATGATTCTTGGGTGGGAAGCCCAAAAAAGGAATCGGGCTTTCAAATGGCGGTCCCCAATCATCCATTTGCTCAAGTCCCCTGGGCAAAACAATATTACCAGCAATGATAGATTCCCTCCAATCAGCGAAAATAACGTTGAATCTTGAAGAAATGGAAGTATTGGTTGGCGGTTTTTGAGAGGAAACCGAAGGAAACCAAGCATTTAGGGGACTTCCAGTTTGAGAGAACCCCCATTGATTGGTGTTTGGATTGGTGGTTTAGTGGTCTTTCGGGGTGGTTTCCCATGACCCACAAGGGCTCCAAACCACCAACTACGCAACTAGGGGTTACCTGAATGTTTTGTTGGCCCACCAAAAAACGGCACGCAGAACAGAATATGTCCTGACTCTGTGTAGTTAGTCTAGCCCTAATAAAGAGCTTTGAGGAGACCAAAGTACACATTTTGCAAGGGATGCCTTAGCACATTCCCTGTTCTTGGGTCCAAACAACAGGATTTGTATATATGGATTTGCATCTGTGTTTGAGGGGAAACGTCTTTTGGTTGGTTCTGACGGGAAGCCAAAGGACAACCAGTCAAATTTTGGCGGTGTTCTAAAAACAGGAACAAAGCAAACAAAAAGTGCCAGCCTCCCCCCCCAAAAAAAAGCAAAAGCCCAGGTAGGTAACCTTTTGGATAAGCCAGACCCCATTTATGTGCAACCGAACCAATCAAAAGGACAGCCCGGAATTAAAATGGAGGATTCGGGGTGTGGCCCTGTTTATTGAACCGGCAGAAAACGTGCCAAAAAGCCCGGGCGACGCATTTTCCGCAGGACAATTTTTGAAATTGGGCTTTGGACCCCGAGATTTTTGTGCAAGGCGAACTCTCTTCCCCATGGCAACAAACACTACCGTGGCAGACCACCAAGCGTGGCAGACCACAAAGCCGCGAAACACTCCCCACATTCCACAGAAAAGGGGAAACCAACAAACAATGAGAAAAAACACTTATAGAGAAACACAAAGCAAAACAAAACAAAGAACACAACATCAAGAACAAGCCAAACGAAGAGAATTGCAAAAAACAAAGAAACACACCTGGATCGCCAGTGGCTGTTTCTTTGTTGTTTAATGCACTTTACCCCAAAAACCAGCAGCAGTGACTGAAAAAAGCGATCGCAACTTGGCTATCTAGGCAGAGAGGGGTACCCTTTTTTCTGTAGTCTATTTTAGTAGGGAAACCCTCCAGCCGGGGACCCTAGAAAAGCAAAGGTCACCTCATCTGCCTCTCCGCCTCTCCGAAACCGAAACTTGGGGAGGCGCTGGCATGAGGCAGTCGGTGTGGCTCTTGCCCATCAGCTCCAAGTTCAAAGGCCTCCGAAGTGAAGCCGCGGAAGGAGTTGGGCTCTCGTCTTTCGGGGCGACCCCCCAAAAAATGGGGCTTCCAGACCCAAAACGGTGGCCCTAAAAAAAACAATCACAAAAAGGGTACCTCCAGTAGAGAGGTTAGAGGTTAGGGTGCCCATTTTTTTTGTAGTCTATTTTAGTAGGGGAACCCTCCCCCAAAAAAAGTTTGTAAAGGGCACTACTGGGGGACCTAGAAGGGGTCTCTCGTCATTCAGACCCAAACTGTGGTCCTAAAGAAAAACCAACCCCAAAAAGAGGGGTTCGAAAAAAGATCGGGGGACCCCGCCAAATGGTGAAAAAAATAAGCCTTTCAGGATGAAAAATTGGGCGCTCCCAACCGGGGAAACGGGAAATGGCAGAACTTGACCCCGTGCTTGGCCGGTCTTTTTGCTGTCTTAGTTTTTCTAAGTGGCTCTCCATGACCCTTAAAAAATGGGGTCATTGCCCAAAATTAAGGGGCATGACCCCTTTTTCTAGGGGTCATGGAGACTCTAAGTTACCCCTTTTGGGGCTGGTTTAAAGGAACACCACCAGGTCCCTTGACCCCTCGTCCTTGGCCTTGATCCCTAGGGTGACGGTGCTGAATTTCAAGGAAACACTGTAACACCCGAAGGACCACCTTTTTTGGGCTCCCGTGACCCTAAAAATGAGGGTGCTGCATTTAAAGGAAACACCAGCAGGACCGCCATGTTCGGGGACCTCGTGTTCGGTTTCGGCACCCTTACATCAGGAGGACCAAGTGGATGCCTAGACTCTCGATGACCGCAGGGATCCACTTTTTGACTACCCCAAGGTAGACTTAAACACAGGGGGTTTATTTCCCACAAAGGAAGGGGTTTAATAAAGTCTACCTAGAGTCTCCGTGACCCCTAGAAAAAGGGGTCATGGCTCTTTCTTTTGGGCAATGACCAAGTACTTTTCATGGGACATAGAGACTCCAGGTGCCGCTTTCTGGTTTCAGAAGAAGCCGCAAGAAGATCGCCCGCGGAGTGTGCGATCGAAGTTCCGGCTCCGTTTTGCGTGGCAGCGGGACGGTGAATTTTCACTCAGAAACTTAGAATACTTCAAAGGCTGTGGAGGGTGAAAATTCGCCCGCGAATGACCCAGCAACAATTTGCAGGATTCTGGCGGAGAAGGGTTGCGATCCCTAAGGCCTAAGAGGCTCGATTGTTTTTGGGCCCTCAAATCTGGGTTGTTTTAAAGGGCCCCTGAGGGGTCGGGGTGTGCATTGGAGGGGTCATGACGCTTAGAAATACAAAAGAAAAACGCTTCGCGACAAAATCCGCCTGAGGTTCTCGAGGAAGGACCGGCTGCGGCGGGGGGCAAAGGCGTCGAACATGAGCTCGGCCACCTCCAGCACGAACTTCAGGGCCACTGCGTTGAGCAAAAGATCCTATGCCATGGGCTGGCACCTTGGCACCTCAAATCATGAGGCCCCTTTCGTTGGAGGTCAAAGGCCAACTCAAATTTTGGGGTTTCCCTGGGGGCTCCTATCGGGAACCCCCCCCCCAACAAAGCAACCCTAACAGTTTTCTAGGCCCTATTAGTCGCCAGTGGCCCCTAATTGGGGTTGGGGTTGGGGGGGCGGCTTTTGGATTGGCCCTTGACAAAGCCACGAGCTGATGGACCAAACGCTTGGGATGCGTGAAACAGCAACTAGGTCCTCCAAAAACTGGGTCTCCCAAACCCAAAACGGTGGTCCTAAAAAAACCAACCACAAAAAGGGTACCTCCAGTAGAGAGGTTAGAGGTTAGGGTGCCCATTTGTTTGTAGTCTATTTTAGTAGAACCCTCCCCCAAAAAGGGTAAAAAGGCACTGGGGCACCTAGTTCTTAATACATGGAGGTTCCAGCCTTACCAAATGGAATGCTTGGTCATTGATGTTGACCCCATATGAATCAACCCCAGTTAATTCATAGAGGGGTGCTTCTCTGTGGGTTTAATGGGGAATCACACCACTTTTGGAGGAGGCCCCAACCCTGGTAACCAATAATAAACTGGATTTGAGTGCGATGGGGGTAACATTACCCAAACAGGGGTCGTAGCCGAATCTTTCATTCGGGTGCTGGAGACGGTGGGATAAAAGCCATCTACCCACAGGAATTGGTGTCCATTCGCCTGGGGCACCACTGGGCTCCGAATCCTGAACATCGAAAGGGAGTGGATGGCCAAAAAAAAAGTACGAGCTGTTCATTTACCGCGAAAATGGTCCAAACCTGAAAGTCCAGGAACTCAGGGAGTGAGAATATACGTATGCGCACGGAAACTCAGACATCCCTTCATCTTTGGATTGGGACCTTCCCCAAACCTCTCGGGTCTAGCGGTGTCAACTTTTGTTGAAGGGTTCAACTGATTCCCACAAGAATGGCGACCCAAGAAGAAGATGACCATCCTCAGGCAAATGGCTCTACCTAGAGTCTTCATGACCCCTAGAAAAAGGGGTCATGACCCCTTAATTTTGGCAATGACCCCAATGTTTAAGGGCTATGGAGAGTCTAGGTATAAACCCAACCATTGTTTGGTGGTCGGGTGAGCGATTTCGAAAACACGGCAACTGGGATCTCGTCCTGCACCGTTTCGGTGTAGACCAAGTACACCGTACCGTACCAGAGCAAGATGCCCTGAGAGTGGAGACTCAATCGAGACTCATACTGTTGACCCTACTCCATGACCCTTAACAAAAATTGGTCATTGCCCAAAATTAAGGGGTCATGACCTCATTGTTTTAGGGTCATGGAGAGTCTAGGTATATTCATCAACCAACCAGTTTTTTTTAATAGGGTGTTTTTCCTGTTCCCCTCCAAAAGTGGTCTGATTCCCCACTAAACCCAGGGAGAAGCCCCCCTATGAATAAACTGGGGTTGAGTAATACGGGGTCAACATTATGTTGTTTCATATTGGGCGGGGTGGCTTGCTGGGGAAATTAATGCTTGAACCCTCAAATTGGTCTGAGTAAGGTTCCAACCTCTCCTCCAAGGTCAACTTTCAACACGAAAGAAAATTGTCAGATCCACACGTTGACCCATGTACACGGCTAAATAAGAACACACATTATTGACATACTATCATGACTTGATGTGGCTCTACAGTCCCATTCATTGTTCTTGAGGGCAACCCTCCCTGCGTTGCTTCGGGAAACCAACAGAGAACAACACATACCCATAGTTGCAATGAAGGTAGATGACACAAGTCCCCCACGTTGGTTCCTGGTTTAATTAATCACCTGGCTGTGGGTCCAATTCGGAGAATTCAACCCAACAAAGAAAGTCCAAAGATCCGTTACGAAATAGCCACAAAGAAAAAACATCAACCTGACAGCAAGCCGGTCGAGTTTCGAACATCTAAGTCTAAGCTTAAAACTCGGCGTCCCCTTGCAAAGGACCTAATGGAGGTCAATAAGCTCACCCTAAGAGCCCCTTGGACCCTAAATACTGTGGATGGACGAAACCCCGGTTTCTAAATACCAACAAACAATGGGTTCTTCTGGTTTCAAATTGGTGGACTTCGTCCATCCACAGAGGGCATTTCAACTCTGCAAGGCAAATCAAATCGGTCCAAGAGGCCCCCAGCACGGTAGGGTCAGGTGGTATCCACCCTTCTGGAACTCTTCCGGCATAGCCCGCTCCGAACTCGCTTGGCACCAAAACCCCCAAGCTTTCTGGCTGAGAAGTGGGATTCCCATCACTACCTGGAGTCTCCGAATCTGACCATAGGCGTCCTTTTAGGGGAAATAGATGGCGCTGGTAGATGATCAAACCACCAGGTAAAAAAGGGCCATCTATGTTTCTACCAAAACAACCAAAAAGGACACCTATGCTTCTGACCCTTTAAAACTGGTTGGTCATTACCCAAAAGAAAGGGGTCACGACCCCATTCTTTCAGGGTCATGAAGAGTCTAGGTACTTGATTCCTTGGTATCGCAGACACTCACCTGAGTGGCTTGCCAAACAAAAGACCAGTTCTGTTTACGGTCCCAAACCCAAACAAGTGGGCTAAAATCCAGCACTCCAATGGTCCCAAACCAAAAAAACTGACTACCTAGACAATCCATGACCTGTAAAAAATGGTTGGTCCTTGCCCAAAACAAAGGTTCGGGTCGAATGGGCCCTTTCTCTAGGGTCTAGGCAGCTAGAAACTGGGAGTGGACCTGGGCAGACGCAGGTCTCATGCCAGCCTGAAGCCCCGCTCGGATCAGCACCGTCGTCAGGATGAAGGTCTTCCGCTTCCTTTTCGCCCGGAGGATCGGTGCACTTTGAAACCCACCGATGTGGATGGGCAACTCAAAAGCCGAGCTTGGTCCTCCACTGGAGAGGTTAGAATAAGTGGGTACCCGATTGTTTTCTTTAGTCGATTTTAGTAGGGAACCCTCCCCCAAAAAAGGGGAGAGCAGGGCACTACTGGGGGACCTAGGTAACCAAACGTTTTTTCCTTAGCCACCAAAATGGCACCCAAACCCGAAAAGTGACTAAAGTCCAGGAGCTGTTTAATTTACAGCTAAAGTGATGTGCAAGCCCGAAAAAGTAACTCAAGCCCGAAACGGAACTCAGGAAGCGCACTTGTTCTGGGACGTAGACCGCAGCAGCGAGCTTGTTGCCAAGAGGAAATGAAGGATACCCAAGGGCAAAAAGGCCAAACAACAATATGGTGCCCTAATAAACGGACTCTCCATGGCTCGATACCCTTTTAGGGAGTTTGGCCAAAGTGAATCGCGAAATGCGATCCGCAACGAGGTTTAGTGGTGGTTTTTGAACATGGTTTCTAAACACTTAGCTAAGTCCGAACATGTAGGAGCGGCAATTGTGCAGCAAACCCTGAAACACGATTACCCATACTTTTGCTTGCCACTAAACTGGTCTTCCTAAAAAGGCAAGATTAAATTCCAAGTGAAGAAGTAAGCTTGTGTAAGGTGGTTGCAAAATAGACCCATAGTACTTTGTCTCATTTGCACGTTAGGGACCTAGAAGTAGAAGGTTGCAGCAACCCTAGGGTCGCTCTGTCTGCAAGTCAGGTGTAGGAGGTTTTTCGGTACGGAGGCGATGGTGGAGGTATTTTGTAGGTACCCGGCACCCCATCTTTGGTTTTTACTTTCTCAAGGGAAACCTTCGCAAATCGCCTTATGTCCTTTGACACAGACCCATGATCCGAAGGAGTCCAGGCAAGATCAAAACCCACTCCACACAAAATCCAGTGGGTTTTGCACGCCTTAGGTCTTTGGGACTGTCCCTTTTTTCACTTTGTCACGCAGTGTGTGGGAAATATGGCTCCACACTACTTCATCTGAAATCTTCCGTCTTTCTCATGGGCACTTTTCCGGTGCCTGAATAACTATATTGGGGTTTGGGGGGGCGCTTTGAAGCCAAATCTAGTCATGATCCGGGGAAAACCAATGATTGTGCAAATTAGTTCGCCCCATACACTGCTCAAAAGAGTATTCTTAACCCCGGATGAACTAGCTTGACTAGAGAGGATAGATTTTTCTGTTGTCTATTTCAGTAAGGGAACCCTCCCCCAAAAAAGGGTAAAAGGGCACTACTGGGGACCTAGTTGTGTTACTAAACGTTTGGCGCCGCCACCCCCATATTAGGACATGAGCCACTGTCAATATGTTATTGTGTCCCCAACTGACATGATATTCTAACCCCATGTCCTCCTGGAAATTCGGGGCTCGTGTGCCCCGAATCGTCATCCCCCTTCCGATGAAGATGACAGCAACTATTCACTGCTAGACTCGCCTTCTGACCCATAAAAAGTGGTTGGTCATTGCCCAAAATTCAGGGGTCAAATAAGTCAAATGGGCCCTTTTTCTGGGGGTCAGAAGGAGACTCTATGGCCGTATCAAACTCATTGATCCAGTGTCCGCAGCCCTGGAGACATGGCAAAAAACCATCGGCACTCTTGTTGGCACTCTTGTTGGACAAAAAGGGCCCCCCTGTTTGGATGGAGTTTTAACAGGCGACCAAACAGGAAACCACCTGGAGGGGTCCCCAATGTTGAGAAGCACCCATATTGGCAGATTTCGGGAAGTTGCAAGCAAATTCAGCTTGAGCCAAACCCACACCCGTCAATATGGAGTGCTTGGACCCCGCGACACGGTTCTTTCTTCAACCCAGAGGCTCCTGGCTTCGGCTTTCAATGGAAGACCCGACCCCTCCATTAGACGTTTGGGGGTCTCAAAACCTGGCTGAGGGCCCTAAATACATCGAATTGGAGCCTCTGGGTCCAAAAGAAAGTTGAAAGGAGCCGCCGAAGTCCTATGCCAAACATCTCCCATATCCCTTGTAACCCTTGTACTTCCATTTGCTTGAGCCCCCTGGAAAAATAATCATACGCTCAGTGATAGATTCCCGTTAAAACCAACAGGGCACATCTTCATTTCTGCAAATGGAAGTCTGCCGCTACGAAGCGAAGCGGAGTGAGGATTCCGGCTCCTGGAGAGTCGCACTAAGACGATCTGATCATCATCCTCCAGGTGGAAGAGCGTGTGCCCACGAGGGATCCTCGACATCGGGGGATCAATCGGAACTCCAACCCCTCAGGAGTCCAATGAACCCCTCCTCCATTTGCGGATAAGCGCCCTACAAACATGACAAAATGTGTCCAGTAGTGAAACCGCTTCCCTTTAACACCAACCGCGGAAACTTTTCCGCTGCCAAGACCATGCTATTTGGGGCCTTTCATGCCCTCATAGCTAGGGTCCCATCAGCTCTTAGGGTTTGGAGACTGAAACGCGGCGGTTGCAAGCCGACTCGAACCCGGACCCAGTTTCGGCCGGGACCAAAGTCACGACTCCTTTCCCCCTCTACTCTTGGCATGGTAGCCAAAAGCTTTGTTTTTCTTGCAGGCCCCCAATAAAAATGAACAGAACCAACAAAAACATGCCAACAACAATGAAGCTTCCCCCTCCCGCTAAGGGTTGAATCGGTGACGGTGACGCTTGATATGGGTTCTCAAGTCGGGGCGGCCACGTACTGGCATCCGGGATTATTTTTCATCAATCCCGAAAACCATCCGGGTGTGTGTTTTTTTTTCAGGTAGCAGCCCGTCCCCCAAAAGGAAACATGGGGTTTTGCCCGTGTTCCTGTCGGTTTTCCCGTTCAAGGCCAACCAAAAAAGGGTACCCAAGCTCAAGCCCCACATGTGAATTGAACATCAAGAATCGAGAGCCAAAACCCGCGCCCCAGCTTTTCGGGTGTGTCTCTTGTGCGTTGCTTTCCACTAGTTTGGTTTGCCGTTCAAGACGGGACCAACAGGAAAACCGGTTCGTGAAACGCGCTGTTCTACGGGGTCAAGTGGGCCCTTTTTCTAGGGGTCAGAAGGAGACTCTGCTCGTGTTCTTGAAGACCTGCCTGTGACAATTACTGCGGGAACGGGAACGGAAAGCCCAACCCGTTCGAAGCTACCTGCTTGCTCCCGGCAATCGGAGACTCTAGTACCTGATTGCCCAAAATTACGGTTTCATGGACCCCTTTTCCTAGGGGTCATGGAGACTCTAGGCACCTGCTTGCACTCTGCTCGTATTCTTGAAGACCTGTGCGGGAACGGAAAGCCGGACAGCCCAACCCGTTGGAAGCTACCTGCTTGCGCCCGGCAATCAGAGACCCACGCGAAGCCAACCAAGGGGCTCCATCAGGCCCAAAGTGAAGGAGAACAACTTCCCGAACTCCGCCTCTCGGGAGAAAGGCTCCCGCCGCCCCACTCCCCGCCCCGGTCGCCCTTGAGGCAACCACTTCTGGAAGGGCGGGCGAGATTCGACAAAGAGCTCCCAACCGGCAACTTGTGCATTTCAAGCACAGTCCTGGAAGACCAGTTGCTTTTTCCTTTAGACCAAAAAACACATATTATTCATTTGTTCGGGGACGTCGGAAGCGGGCGCTATGCTTGTTTCTTGGGAGGGCGGCTCACAGAAACTGGCCCAAGCCAGAGACCAAACGCCCTGTTGCACCCAAAGGAGGATTTCCTGGCGAAAAGAAACGGCTGCATGGGTGACTATCATGGTTCTGAAAGAACCTTTCACCACTAAAGCCGCAGCTCCCCCCGAAACGTGAGGTCCCAACAAAATGCTTCGCCCCACGGGTTTTTGACCACGCGATTCGTTCCGGACCATCTAATGAGCTTCGGGTTTGTCTCCCAATGCCAGGGGGGCAAAGGGGACCCCTGCCCCCTGTGGCTTGGCGTGCGTTTCTCTGGATCCGGTTGTCTTTGAGGTACCCGAACAAAAAAAACAACCCAAAGAAGATCCCAACAAAAAACAACACACACCCATTCTGTTTTTTTGTGCTAAGAGAAACCAACACATCATTTGAGCGCTCAGAACCCGCTGACTTGTGGTTGTGTGCTTGTGCACAATACCACGACCCCGAGCCAGGTAGAACCACCTGACCTCGAAAACGGCCCTGGGGGGAATCCGCAAACGGATTCCAAAAGAAAACTGCTCAAAGGTCTCCCTAAAGGCTCCTTCTGACCCTAGAAAAAGGGCCCATTTGACCCAAATCTTTCTTTTGGGCAATGACCAACCATCTTTTACGGGTCATGGAGAGTCTGGGTCCTTTGTCTTGCGGAGCTTCGCAGTTTTCGGATCTGTGACCGGCTCCCCATGGATCCGACGGCAAGAAGCTAACCGTTTCCCAACGAGAATGAAGCCAGAAGGGGAAAAACCGTCTGAAAGGTAACTACTCCTGGTAGATTGCTTAGAACCCCACCCCCCAAAAAAAACAACAAAAAAGAGAAAGAAATGACAAAAACAAGAAAAGGGAAGGTTCCTCTCGAAACGGATGCTCAGAGTTCCATGTTAAGCTCCAGCAGCAACTCTGCAACTCTGCAGATGCTGAAGGGGTTTCCTCCCGGAGTGGAAAGCAATTGCACTAGCCTGGGTAGATATATTTCAAGCCGAAAGGAAGCAAGTCTGGGTAATCAGAAATTCAACGAGAGGGGCTGCCAACCCGGTGCTTGGTTTGAGGGCAATGTCTCTAGGCTTCAGGCTGCTGCTCTCGCTGCTCTGGGGATTAGCACGTGTTCGGTTTGGGGGCGTTGTTTGCAATCGTTCTTAGGTTTTGCGCACGAAGAAGTTCCCTAAGAATCTTGGGACCTCAAAAAGACCGTTTTTGAGGTCCACAACCTTCCAATGAAGATCCAGACCTCTGCAATGGAGGATCCGAGGGCAGTTCCAATTCGACTCGGGTAGTTTCTTTCCTCCTTAGCCGAGGTGGGCTTGCGGTAGCATAAACCTATACCATAGAGTCTTTCAAGTAACCAAAAGGAACCCGGACCTGAATGACCAGAAACCCCATCTCCGAGGGAACATGCCCGCAGAATAAACATTTGGAACCACAAACACAACAGCTAGATCCCCAGATTAAGATCCTAACAACTATTTGTAGAGGAAACTCCTTTTGGAGAATGGACCCCAAAATTATTAGCATGGAATTCCGACAAACTATTTGTATAAGAGGAAACTCCTTTACCCCAATTTCTAGAAAGCGGTTTGGATGCGCCTTTTGTGGATTTCACCTGTTCTTCCCCCTTTAGGTTCTTTTTCAGTACTCTTTTAGTACTCTTTTAATATCCCACAGGGGTGGATCCACCAAAACCGCATCCAAGCAGATTCCTAGCAGGCTTCGAGTAGGTTTCCATTTGTCTCACAAGTCGCGACCCGACCAACTAGTTTTCCCGGGTTCTCCTTAAAGACAACCAAAAAGTGAAACCCGGAAAAAGGCACATGGGTGTGGCTCAAAATTAAACAGGAGGGGTTACACAAGTTTTGGTCCATGTTTCCACTTCCCAGGGCAAGCCATTTTGGTGCCGGTTTTTTGAGCCACAGCCACGTGGGGATCCTTGAAAGTACCCAAGCGAGTCATTCATTTGCTTCCAGGGCGGCCGAGTTCCGCCGAGCCGCGATGATGGTGGAGAACCAGGCCACCAGCGCCAAGCAGCACATGATGAAGCCCGTGCCTCTCTTTTTTTCTCCCATGCACTGTGGATCAGGGCTGTGGGAAATGGAATCCACTTCTGTGATACAACAAAAAGGGCTTCGCAAAGACTAACCCCCCATATAAAGGGGGAGATTCCCTTGTATCACAGAAGTGGGGAAAAACCCCTTGATCCCACAACCCTGATGTGGATGGTTGCGAAATCCGCTTAGGCACCACCTAACGTTAACCCTGGGAATGAGTCGATTCCCCGGTAAATGCCAAGAAACAATGGCTCCAACCATTGCTTCTTGGGTGGTGCGAACGGATTTTGTTCATCCACAGGATTTGAAGGGGAATGGCTCTGAGGGGTGAGATGGGGATGGGTTTCCTGCAGATTTTGATTTGGGGGTCTAGAAATGGGGGTCCCAAACTGGCTTTTGTTTCTGTTTGTTTTTCCCTTTAAACCAACCAATAAAGAGCTCCCATAAAACAAGAAGCGCCTAATGTTGACCCTGCATTCCGTTTAACGCCAACCTATTAATCATCTGGGGTTTATGAATCCGGGGTCAACACTATTTGTGTCGTTCTAGACATGTTTTCGGCTAGGTCCTCCACTAGAGAGGTTAGCTTAAGGGCACCATTTTTTCTGTAGTCAATTTTTGTAGGGGAACCCTCCCCCAAAAAAGGGTAAAAGGGCACTACTGGGGGACCTAGTTTCTGTGGGGATTCATGCCCGCCAATCACTTGTAAAGTAAAAGTCCCCAGTACATTCTACTTAGTAGCTTGGGCTTGCTCCAATTCTCCCAACAAGTACATGGGTTCCTTTCAAGGGCAACTTGAACCAAAAGGATACCTGTTACCTGTAACGCCAACCACAAGGGTACCCCCTAAAAAGAACAAACAACACATGCCCATTTGCAGCGATAAGATTAGCCAAGCCGTACTTCCTCCCAGGAAATTGCCTCGGGAAAACGACAACAAGAAGAAATCAGGGATCCCAAAAGGCTTCACGGGTTTCACCCATACCCCAGGTGTTGTGATAATATGACAAAGAAACATACTCCCTGGGATTCAAGCCACCATGAAAAACAATTGTTTACCTAGAATTGTCATAATCCAACTTGGGCTTTTGCCATCTAGGTCCTCCAGTAGAGAGGTTAGAATAAGCAGTCTATTTTAGTAGGGGAACCCTCCCCCTACTGGGGGACCTAGCCATTCCTGTACTAGGGCTTGAGGCCTTGGAGGGGGTCCCTTCGCAGAGGTGGTGCCGGGGACCCTGATATGAGGAATTGCCCGGTCGCGAGCCGTGATCCTCTTGCTGACCCTGAAAGACATGGAAAATGCGAACCAATCCTAGGAGAGCCCTTGGACCCTTGGTCTCCTGTTGGCCCTTGAAATAGTATATTATATGTTAGGAGCCCTTGGACCGATTTCATTTGAGCCACAATCAACACCCGGTACAAAAATGGTGAACCCAGCACCATGTAAAGAATTCAGATCTACCCGGGTTTTGATGGCTCATTTTGGGGGGTCAAAGAAATGGTTGTAGACACCCGGCATGCGTCACGACCAGTTCCCCTCAAAAGAAAGAAGTCGACAGGGCACCTTCAACTTCATACAAACACGAGCACGTGCCAGGCCGACTTCGACCTATGTGCGGTTTTGAAACAAACCCAACAAGTACCCCTTACGTCACACCGGGGCGCTCATGGCTGAGAAGCCATACTCAAAGACATTCTCAGCGATCTCCTGAACGCGACAAAGACGTGTGTTCAATTAACCCCCTCCAAATACCTTGGCTGGAATTAGGACCCCAGCAAATACATATATATATATATATATATATATCTGCCTGGTTCGTGGAAAACAAAGGGAACCCCAAAAAATCAAAAAAATGGGAACAAATTCTGAGCAAGATACATGCTTCTTCTCTTTTCTAGGCAACTAAGCTGAAAAGCCAGGGTGTCCATGATTAGTTCCTGCTTTCTACTGCTTGAACTTATCCTCGAGGAAAAAAACATAAACACAATGCACCAGCATAGCCCACAAATGGCAAACAACTACAACTGCACCCCTCGCAAACACGCGCCTGGGCCGTCACCGGCATCCAACAAAGCCCCGAACAGCACCCCAAACAGCCCGGCCGCCAATCCCGCAAAAAATGCGCGCCAGCGTCACCAGCAAACAGCCACCTGCGCCAGCACCCCAAACTACATGCCCCCAACACCCCATCAATCTCGCAAAAATGACATGAAGATCATCAGCTCATTCACAAAAGCGCAGAGGCCAGGAAAGAGCAGCCTGAACCCAGTCTGAGCCTAGTCTGAACCCACCAAATTTAATTTTGCCATCTCCTATGCTTCTGCTTGAATGCACCACGGCGGTCCCAAAGCAGAAGCCCATTATCTCAGCTTTTGCGGGCCCAAGTCGGCTTTTGACTGGGATTGAGGCTGCGAGTGGCACATCTTGAGGTGAGGAGGTGTGCTTCTTCCTGGCAATTTGGCAGACCAGCACTGCCCCCCTGCAAGGAGGGGGAAGCAAGCCACATCCAAATCGCACCCGTTGCCCCAAGATGTCACTTGCAAGCCTCTATCTCAACCAATAGCCAACACCACAAGGTACTATTGGGAGTTTCCGATTTGGGAGAACTATGAAAAAGCCCCCCTCCCCCATGTCCCGCTTGACTAGTCTAATTGAGCAGCCCAAAGGGCAACAAAAAGAGCTCCACTCTTAGAGCATAGATTCCCTCCAATTCTACGAAACAAAGCTAAGCCCCTACAACATCTACCTCCCAGACTCTCGGAAAACCTCAAGCTTATTAACTCCACCGTAGGATTTAGAAGCTTGCGAGACTCTCGACAGCGAAAAGGGATTTATCATACAGCCTGCCCGTACCCTTAAACCCGGTTGGATGTGTTCTGCAACGTGGATGGACAAAAAAAA